GCACGGACCCCTCTATAGTTTCAATTCCACTTACGAAAAGCAAAGCAACTCTGTCGGTGACACGAGTTCATATATATACACACACACACACGTACTCTGAGCCCTCTGTCCGACTCTCTCCGATTGACAATAGGGACGGATCAGCCCTGAAATAATACCTGCTAATGGCCTTCGCTCGCACGCACGTTGCTTCGAGGTGCGACCAAAAGTAGTTGGAGTATCATACGCTGCATACACATGTACACGTACACCTACAAGACCACGGACCCGGATTATTGTCACAGTGTCTAATTTGTTATCTGTGAAAATAATTTGTCGGGGAGAGGCGAGTGCGGATAACGCGGACATTTAATTTCCGTTCGTGTGTATTTTTCCATTTTGTCCCCAGGCCGCGGGAACATTATCGCCGTGGCGACGGAACATCACGGGGCCGTGGAAGAAAAATATTTTAAGAGGATTTGTTTCTAGCTGCTCGTACCGCACAGCGTATATACGTGCACGCGTGTACCCGCGGAAGCAAGTATACATGCTTACATTGTGTACAGGCCGGGATGGAGGGGGGGGGGGCGAAAGTAACCGCCTTTAATGCGTTTATGTTGTACATATAACAACTATACGTTTTTCCCCGCAAGATCTATACAGATGAGGTCATTGTTTGTTGTATGTATATATAATATCTTCGTGTCGCATCACAAGCCCAATGTGACGTGGCAAATCGATATTTGCTGGAATAATGTTGTTTTATGAGGATGATGATCCTGTGATCGGGCTGTGTACAAAATATACGTGCAACCCATGGATGAAGCTAGATTTCATGATCTAATTTTATGTTTTTTGTATATATAATATATTTCGGACTTTTGTATCGTCTCCTCTTGAAGCAACGGAGGGATGCAACATTTTTTAAGCGACATACATCGTCTGGATAATAGATTATAATTAAAAAAAAAAAATCGAAATAGAGTTAATGTGTGCGAGTCTAAGTATAATAACTTCTCGTGGTTTTACATCAAATGGATGTATTATGAATTGATGGGTTATATCATTATTATCATCATCCCCGAAGCCATAGGAAAAGGCATGTGGGCGTGTAACAAGCTAACGTTACACCGCACGATGTGTAGATAGATACTATTACCTTACATATTTTACCCACCTGTGCCCATATACTATACATCTGCAGCTATGCACTCGGAATTACCACTCCCCTTACTTACATACGTATATAATATGTACACCGAACGTACATTTCCAGCCTTTGGCTCCGTATAATATCAGTGGCGTGTATATGTATATATACGCACACCCTGCAATATCACCCGCTCGCTCGCCAGCATTTGTCGCTAAAATAATTAATTAACCTGCCTCTGTCGGGCTCTGTGTCGCCGGTGGCGCGTTATAATTGCGCCTCTATAGCGCGCGCGCGCAGCTTTAATGAAAAGCTCCCCGGCGGAAACGCGCGGCGACGTGTAAAAAGACGAAAATTACTCTCTGCGCCGAGGATATTATACAGCCAAAGGACCGGCCCAGGGTCTCTCTCTCTCTCTCTCTCTGGAGCTTTATATCGCTGTAAAAGAGAGCCAACTTGGGAATCATATGATGTGCGAGCTCTGTGCATGTATACATAAATATATACCCGCAATAGCGTCGGAAAAGCCGAGACCTTTGTTCCGCCCCGGACTTTTTCATCGCGAATTAGTTTGCTCACGACTATATTACAACAATTTATACTCCAGCTCTCTTTTCTTTTGTTTTTACGAGGAAAAAAAAAAAAATTACCTACACGCGATTTCATGAATAAATTACTAAGTATATGGCTACGCGGTTTTTTTTTTTTTTTTTTTTGTTTTTTTTTACCTTTCGCTGTAATTTACAGGTGTATATTGATCGCGTTTGGAGTAAAAATTAAAATAGCACGCTCTCTCGCGGTAACGGCTCACGTACATACGAGTATTTGCCTATTAAAATAACATAGAGGCGCTACGATGCCACATTGTTACAGGCGGGGAGGGAAAAAAAAAAAAAAAAATGCAAAAAAAAAAAAGAAATCAAATTACAGGGAGGGAAAATTCTGGTCTTCCCCCGCGCTAATAACTACGAGTATTTATGTTGAGCACACAGCCGGCATGAAACGACTTTCCGTCCGCGGGACGACGGCAGTACACGGTAGTCAAATCAAACACGAGGCTATTAACTGGGTCAACAAAATTATACGGGCAGCTCTCTCTTCTCTGTAATATTGTATAATATCCTCAATCGACGCGTATACGTGTATGTATATATGTGTGTGTGTGTGTTTGTGTGTGTGTACCGTTGATATGACTATTTTGTGGTACATTAATTACAAACTAAATCGAGGGAGATGAAAAATTCCAATTTCACGTGCAACGCAGGCAGTTGAAAAATCGTTCGATGATATATTCCCTCGACACCCGAGCTCTTTGCGTTTTCCCATAAACGCGCCACCCTCCGATACTCGCCTACCAATATTGTTTTAGGCTTCGCCACACGTCGATCGACATCGTCATCATCATCATCGCTACACACGTGTACGCTAAGTCGTGTAATACGAGAAATTATATCGCTGCTGCTTTGTGTTTATATAGTATATATAGTACAAACACCGAGTTCGCGTGTCCTTTTGGTGTACAATATACGTTGCACACACACCCCAAAAGATATACTCCCACAGTGTTAGCACAGGACTGTGTTCCCGGTAGCGAAACGTTTTTCGTTAAAACAGGGTGTACCTATTTGTCTTTCTACCGTCCTCGAGTGTATTGACTCGTGCTTTTCGAGGCTGAAAATTTGCTTTCGGTGCATTCGAGACGAGTGCGCGCGTCCATGTGCATGTACATATACAGATGCCATGCATGCGCAGGTGTGAGAAATCGCTCGAGATTAGTTTGCCGGCGTTTACCGATTCATCGTCTGAGAAACTCGATACCGATTTTTTTTACCGATTTCCGCCTTAAAATCGACGAATTTTTAGTGTAAGCACATTCGAAAACCTATAGTCACACAGTTCGGTAGAAGAAGAAGAAGAAGAAGGGGGAAAAAAAAAATCCCCGTGAGTAACAATAATTGCCTCGATCGAGCGAGAGGGAGCTCCTTACGAGTTTAACGGCTCGATAGAAAGAAAAGCATATATGCTGCCGAACGATTCGATTTTCCGAAAAGCTCCGGCCTAATTTCGCGGTAAAGATCGGAGGAGGGAGCCACTCTTTTTTTCCTTTTCACGGCTGATAGCCGCGAACCGCGTCCACATGTGTATATGTATGCACAACAAACACACGAGGTCACAAATCCCAGGACAATCGATCGATCGAGCGTTAATACGCTGCTTACGGGGCGGGAGGGGAAAGAAAAACCGCCGACCTTTCATACGCGCCCGTAACCCACAATGCTTTCCGGGCTTTCCGCTTTTTCCTCCTTTTTCCCGATCTGTCTTCCGTGAAGGCTATTCTTGTGCGTCTGGCCGTGCGCTTCGCCCCCGCTTAGTGTGAACGGTACACACCTTTGGGTTTGTCGCGTGTTTGTGTTTATTGTTATTCATTTTCGTTTTTTAACGACTGTAATAATTATCGTAGGTGAAAAATTCACTTTTTTACACTCGCTTGTACCTATACTTGAAAAATTTCGGAGGAAAAAAAAAAAAAAAATCTTATTCGAATCATCGGTGTATACCCAATCGAGAGGGCGAAGGAACAAAAAAGAAAATCCCTGCGTCCGAGGAAAACACTCGAAAAATCTCCCACGTCATCGTCGAAGCCCCGCGTGGATCCAGACGCCACACATCCTAGCACGGGCGCGCGCGCTTGTGTGCTTCGAAAAACAAATCGCTACACATGTCCCGAGCCACCAAAGCGAGACGCACCCCTGTGTTTGATTATGGCGTGGGGTATATTATAGCTAGACCCAATTCGTACAAAATGTAGAAGCACGTAGTAGCCGGGCCTTTTTGATACCCAAGCCGGCGTGCAGTAACGAGGCACCCGTTGACCTCTCTCCCTCTCGATGCGGTGTATACGCGTTTTTATGTACAAAAGTTAGATATATACTCATTCGTATGTGTATGAATATACACGGACAATGAGGCGCGCTATAGTGTGTTTGCCCGGCCTTCCATTCTTGATGGGGATCCGTTTAATCGTTTGCGCAGATGCACGCAGCCCCGAGGATTTGAGTGCACGAATAGAACGCGGCTGAATGGCACTCGAGCTGTACACGTCGCCACGAGGGGGTAAAGGTAGTCGAGTGCCCATCGGCGCCCCGTGCGCTTACAAAATTTTGAAAAACCGCCGGCGTCGCGATGGATTTGTTGGGAGAAGAGGAAAAACAAAAAACTTGTATCTTATGGATCGTTGCAAGGGTAAATTATTCCGAACGAAGGGGCAGCCGGGGTCATATTCCGATGGGGGTGAGCCCGGATCGATTAGCTTGGATTAAATTTCTCCGGCGCGCGTCTGTATGTACATTAATATATCGTGTGCACCGTGGCCGCGAAAAAAAAAAAAAAAAAAAAAAAAGAAGAGGGAAGAAAACGCACAGGCGCATCCGATACGATGTATATTTCCTTCCCTTTGCCGGCGTATTCAAATGCCAGCGCTACGGGGGATCGGAATAAAAATATTTGCTGAGATAACAGCTCGGTTATGGCTACCTAATGGGGCTCTTTTATATAGGGGGCTCACAGGGGAAAAAAAAAAAAAAAAAAGAAGAAAGCGGGGAAAGTATACGCGGTGTACAATGGACCGCTTGAGACGCGTAATTCCTCGGGAATATTCGTCTTACGCGTATCAGTCGCCTACTGGATTTTTCAATGTATTTTTAACGCTACGCGAGTGGGCGTTTTGCGATTTTTCCTTTTCCCATACGCATATACACTGCAGGGACAAACATATTCGATATAATTTTCTTTTCCACATGTACTATCATAAATGAATTTAAAAAAAGGCATAGAATAACGATGGATAAAACTTGTCGACGATCGGTTGGTTTATTTAATTTTGAGGACAATAGCGACAAGTGGTAATCATATCATTGTTACAAAATGATCCTCCATCGACGTATAAAGCAAGGACAACTCGTCCAGATGGCTGTGCAGCGGAGGATTGGTGGCGACGCAATTTCGGCCCTTGCAGTTGGTCATTTTCCTCAAACGGTCCCTGAATCGGTGCCTCTTGTTGGCCCCCATCGCTGGTCCGACGTTGGTCATCTGAAACTCGTCGCTCAGCAAATCGTACGCCTCGACGAATTCCTGCACAAGGACGATGATCATCGTATAACGCACCCCAAAAAAAAACCGAGACATCACAGATATATGCATATACACGCACCCCCTCGTCCTCGTTAAAGACGCAAAAAACGTTGTTCTCGCGTTCCGCGACTCGGCGAACGCAGGCGAAGGTATTGTTGGCCGCGTCCTGGCACTTGCACGCAAACTCCCTGCTGCAGTGCTGTAAAGACAAAATCGCGCGATCATACCAACGACTGAAAAAGAAAAAAGGAAGAAAAAAAAAAAAAAAAAGGACCACCAACGCTCAAGTTCAAGTCCCTATCGGAGGGACAGCCGCTGCTGGGCGCGCCGATGCTCCTCTCGCCCCTGTACTCCACCAGCACAGTTCTGTCCTTGACGCCGTCCCTCAGCAATTTAAGCAGCGATATACCGTCCGACGGCGCCTCGACGCCCGCCATCTCGATTATCGTGGCAAAAAGGTCGACGCTGCTCACCGCGGCCGCGAACTCCGTGGCCCGAGTCACGTTGGGTCCGCGCACCAGCAAGGGCACCCGAATGTCCGCCTCGTACGGCTGCCTCTTGTCGTACGGCTGGCTAAACTGGCCTGTCCCAACAAAACGATCAAGTTATTTTTCGGGTGAAAAAAAAAAAAAACAAACAAACAAACAAACAATAGACACGACACGTACCGACGTGGAAGCCATTGTCCGACGTGAAGATGACGTACGTGTCGTCCAGCAGTCCCTGCTTCGCCAGTTGGTCGTGCACGTCGGCGACCATCTCGTCCACAGCTAGGAGGGCCTCCCAACGCCTCCTGTAGATCTCGTCGAGGCTCGCGAGCACGTTGGAAGGCAGGGGTGACGGTCCCATGCGCACCAGCCAGTGTTTCTCCTGTACATGTATATACGATTGCAAAATGGTATAATAATCCTCGTTGGAGCTCCACATGTTGCTCGTTACCTGATTCGTCCAGGTGTTGAAGTTTTTGGTGAGCTTGGCTCTCGTGCCCTTGTACTTGTCGTTGTGCCTCTCGGCTGGTACAAAGGGATGGTGAGGAGCCGGAGGGGCCAGTACCATCATGAATGGATGGTCCTTCCTTTGCCTGCTTATGTAGTCGAGGGCCAAGGTTTTCTGGAAATACCGTTACGTGTATGAAACCACATTTTCGAGTGGATCCTTCAAGGGTTCATGTTTTTAGGAAGTAGTGGGAACGAGTCATAAAAATTGACATGGTTTTTCAAACTTTACAGAATTTTTTTTCTTCAAAACCATCGATTTTACAGAATAGTATCCAAAAGAGCGTTTTTCTTTGTAATTGTTGTTTTTAAAGAATGTTTTTCGTGACCAAAGAAAACAGTGCCAAAATGATCCGCATACGTACAATGACATCGGTCAGATAATCGCTCGGTTCGGCGCCGTATTTTTTCTCAACTCCATTGACCGATAAGGAATAGTTGTAGTATCTCGAGTTACCGATCAGACCGTACCATTGGTCCCATCCTGGTGGAACGTGAGACGCACCGCCGGTATTTTTATCACCGTACTGCAAACACGCCACAGATGTATACGTGACTCACTCTTCAAAGAATCATCCATTACATCGGAGATACCGATGATGGTGTTGGTAAAAATAATACCTGATTCAAATATTTGCCAGCGTAGAAGGTGCTGTAGTTCATTTGGTGCTTCAGAATAGCGGCGAAGGTGTTTGTCTCGTGGCTGGTTAGCCAATCTTGAGCGTTGCAACCGCCGTTAAGCGAATTGTTGAACGTCCGGTGGTTGTGTTGGTAGCGACCGGTTAAGATCGACGCACGATTGGGACAGCAGATCGGCACTGCGGCAAACTGCGCTTCAAAATGTCACTCAAACGGTATATGAAATGTAATCTTGTAAATTTTTTTTTTTATCAAGTGTAAGAGCGAATCCAAACGATTGTGTGTTTTGGTTTCGTTACTGTTTTCTGTTTCATTGTAAAATTTTAAATGTACAGGCAAAAAGATTGTACTTACATATATAAAGTGACAATCAAGTTTTTCATAAAATAAACGTAACTGTAGGGTATACTTCTCTTACCGCATTTTTAAACGTAACTCCTTCGTCGCCGATATATTTTCGTGTCGATGCCAAAGGTGTCTGCGAAACAACCAAAGAGAGTAAAAAATGTCCCTCTCCAAGAGTGTAAAGTACATGTGCTCACCATTCCATCGAGAACAACATCCAAATCATCGGCAACTATTAGGACGATGTTTTTCGCGTGACACGCACAAATGGCACCGATTGTAAAAACAAGTAAATTCAAGGCCAACATAATTGCAACTTTACTCGTGCAAGCGCGAAATGATTCTACAGAAGCAGACACGGAGCTGTACTGACACCCCACATGATACATCGTTTTCATCTCCTTCCTCTCGTTCGTTTTCTTTTAGATACGCAAAAATAACTTCTCCCCACTCTTTGTAACTTAATGATGAATGACGTACAGTGTCGTGCAGACCCGCGAAAGATGAACTGAATTGGTTTTTTTTTTCTTCTACAGCTCGCTGTTTTTAATATGATGAACACGAGTTTTAAATTATACCAACTATACGAAATGGATTGCTTGGGCGTCAGAGATTAAAAAAATAAATAAAACAAAGTCTGGCAACTATATAATTTGATTTTTTTTACAATTTCCATGACATACGTACAACAATTATTAATCAATATAAATATCATTTAGGAATTCAAGGTGATTAGTGATCCGTTGGGGGCGAGATGTGAGATGTGAGGTCAGTCAATAGTTCGACAGGTGACGAGAAAGTCAATACACTTACGAATTCTCGCGTGCCTGCGCCTGATGAGGCTGACACATATGTCAGCGAAACGTTGCGCATTAATAAAACAATGTAAGAGAAAAAATTTAAATACACTCTAGTTGTGTTTATTTATTTCTCACATCTCGCCTCCAACGGATCACTGATCACCTTGAATTTCCAATTTCTTCGGAGGGCACTGATAAAATTTAAATCAACCATTAAATATCATTTAGCTATCGCTACGCGATTACAGCAGTGATTCGGCCCCTTACAACGTGTTGTACATTGCAGGTATTAAAAATTCATTATTATTTTGAACTTTTTACATATTACTTGCTCTTAATTTCGTATGTATAAATTTGTATATTTCTCAAAATATTACAGGTAACAGTACAATAGCAAAGAAAAAAAATCACGCATAAAACGTAGAGTGGTTTATTATTGCGACTTGAATGTACACGATACTCATCTTATAAATATCTCTTACATTTAAGGTCTTAGGATACTTTGTATTTCGGTAAAACTACGAGAATGTTTTTGTTCGGGACATGCACGCGCACAACTTGAGGAAGTATTCTCATTGAGCTTCCTTTGTCCAAAAGCACTTTAATAACAATTGAAAACAACACAAAAAATCAACGTTCCTCATCCACCATTACGCCTTCCTTGGCTTTACTTTTTTAGAAGTACTCTTGGCATTGATGTTCCTTAACTGTTCGGCAATGAGCTCTTCGAGCTTGGAATCATTGGTTGCAACCTGACTTTGAGCGACATCCTGAGCTTTTTTACTAACCGAGGGAGAAGATTTTTTATTACTGGACCATTTTTCTACAGCTGTATTCAACCAGCTGGATATCGAGTCGCGCTTAAAGAAAGCCAAGGTCACCAAAATAATCAATGGCAACGGCACCAAGGTGATTTGACTGCCATCTGCGTGGTCGTGTCTACGATCAGCGTCAAAGTGCAGTTTCACGTATTTGAAGGACGAGTTGGCTTCAAAGTAGACGGGTGCGATCTGGTAATCGTAGTTCGAGCGAGAGAGCGTCGTATCGAGCTGAACAAAGTAGCGCTTGCCGTCGACCTGCAAGGACGGCAGGTGCAAGAGGTAACCAGCCGAGCTGAATTGTTGTTGCTTCGAGGATAACTGGCTGTCGAGCTTTGCCACGTGAATGGGCGAGTCGGGTGATTCTTCGCGACAAAGTCTCACCTGTAATGTTAAATTTTTTTTTTTTTTATGTATAGACAAGTGGACGATTTAAATATTGATCTGGAAAATCTGTGTTAAAGTACCCTGAGCGTGCGATAATTTTCCGGCTGACTCGACGTCACTCTGACAGAGATGTCTGTCCGAGAAACAGGCTGTAGAGCCATGAGTTTGATGTTGTAAACATCTTGCGTTGCCTGTACGGCTACTGAACTGGGAATAGCCCTCAGACCACGACTGTTTGGATCCTTCTCGTTCAATTTCAAACGAATGGCGTAAATGCACTAAAAGTACAAGCATAAGCCATGTGAGTTCTTAATGTCTTCAAAATAATATCTGCAACACCATTACCTTTGGCTCGAGACCACGAATTCGCCAGGTGCCGTCTTCTTTCGTTGTAGCTTCTTCCTGCAGATCCGAGCACTCAACTTGACCTCGAGCCTCGACAACGAGTCCAGCCTCGGGTTCTCCATTGAGACAAGTGACAACACCGTAAGCACTGAAGGCAACTCGTCGGCCGACCAACGATACAAGCACGCTCTTGCCTTCTTCGACACGAATCATCTTCGAGGTTGGCTCGAAGCGATACTCCTTCATCGTGGGACGAAGGTAATAATCACCAGGCGATAGTGAATTGAAGGTCAGTTTGCCATCCTCGCCTGTGACAATGTTTTTGCGGTAACTGTGTCCGCTACCGCCACCCGAAAGTGAGATCAACACGCCCTGCGAATTAAAGCAAATTTAATAGAATTCATACACTTGAATGATTTCTCCAATTAAAAATCTTAACCTACTTGTAGAGGAATCGAATCAGCTGCATCTACTACTTGAACGTTGATTTCTGCCAATTTACGCACGAGGAAGTTGTAGTTGTTGCTATTAGCATCGCGCGTTATTATGTAGCCATCCTTTTTTGCGACAACACTGTAATATATAGCGCATAAATTTTAGTGAAAAACAATGTATTTTTTAGGTACCTACTAGCGAAATATTACAAATCGCTTATTACACATAATCAATGCTTCCATCCAGAGGCCCGACTTTGAAAGATCCATCTTGCTTCGTTATAAGCTCATGAATTAGTTCTTCATCATTTCTCAAAATCGTAATTGATACGCCGTCAATAGGAGGCGATACAGAACCACTAATGATCTACAAGAATTGTTGTGGTAGACTGTTTATCTGAAATGATAGATAAAAAATTTGTTTGATTCATTGAAATCCTACCTTTCCTTTTTCAGCTTGGAAAATCACGGCATCTGTTTGGCAGTCTTCTGGACCACTAATTCTTATTGAAGCTGGGCTAAACAACAGAGCCTCCGATGAGGGCGTGATCACATACGTTACTCCAGTCACCGAGTTGAATGAAAAACTGTACTTATAAACTTCTCCCTTTGTATCAGCAGTTTTTAAATTTTCCAGCCTATGTTAATACAGAGTAATCAGCGATATGGATTAAAATTTAAGTAATACGCTCTACTTTGATCTGAATACTCACACCAAAGGCTCACGCGCATCAATTTCAGTCTCGATTTTTACTGAAATTCCAGCAACGGCCACGGAACTGAGTATACTGCCACTGACCAGATGCTCATTGGACGAAAACATAACTGGTGTTCGCTCATTGGTATGCAAAGTGACAAAAGGTTTTACATATTTGTGACAACCTTTTGGATAGAAATTGTATTTGCCCGATTCTGGGAGGCAGTGGTTCGTGATTCCTTTTGGCAACTGAAAGGACAGTTTCTTGTTTGGTTGACTAGGTAAAGAGTATTCTATCTTTGTTTCATGAGATGAGCTGAAAGTCACAGAATAACCAGTTTGTTTAAAAGGTGGCACGGTGAATGGCTTTTCAGACTCAATAGTTATCTGATGCTTAGAGTTTTCCCAACAGAAGTGATTGGTGTCAATAGTGACTTCGTATTGACCTGGTAGTACGTCTTCAAAGACATACTGGCCCTCTTTAGCTTTTCCAATTTTTGTCTCAATAATGCCATTGACCATTTTTAACGTTACTTCAATTTCATTGCACTCTTTTTTAGTATCTTTATCTGGAAGACAAACAATACTACCCCTCAAACGCTGCAAGAAGTAGATATCTTTCAATGGAGCTGACTTTACGTCGATAACCTTTTGAAGTGGAAAGAATTGCATGTCCTTGATTTTGTCTTTATTGCCGACCATTACATTAATGTGATACTTAGCAGGTGCAAGATACACAGACCACTCGCCACTATTCTGATCGACTTCGACTTCTTTTTCAAGAGAACCTTCACTAGGCATCACTTTTTTTATCAGAACCTTGAATTTCTGTAAATTTTCTTTTGTTGTCGAGGAAAGTTTGCCAGTTACTTTGTAGGCAACAGGAGTTAAGACGGGCAATTCAGGATTACTTGGCGAAACTTTCACTGATACTTCTTCAAACTGAAGGTCATCTGAAAAGAAAACATGTGAGCACAATGCTAGCACCGACTTTAATGAATAACAGTTAAAGTACATACCAGCTTCAGCGTACAACGTGTACTGTTTTACTTTGACATCATCAACCTTGTAAACTCCATTCTTGTCTGTTGTGCCAACTAATTTCTTGGACATATACACTTTGGCACCAACAACGGGTGTCAATGAACCAGCTGAAGCCAAAACTTTACCAGTAATAGTAAATTTGGTGACTTTGAACTCTACAGGTAGAACCACACTGTCTTCGTTGACAGTGAATGAGTACTCAGCTGGATTAACGTCAAATTTTGTTTTTTCACCAGCATAATGTGGTACAAGAGTATATTCGCCAGGAGATACAGCTGGAAATAGGAATCGACCAGTTTCATCAGACGAGACATGACATAGAGGCTTTTGATTTTTATTGTAGCCTTCCACTGGTGTTATGGCACAGTTTTTCGTTTGTCCATTCTAAAAAGTTGTTATTTTTCATTAGCAAGTTAATTTTTAAACAGTCAATTTTACTTACTCCAAACAGTAGAAAATAAACTTTGCCCACTGGTTCACCTTCCGTAGTAGTAACACGGCCACTAACATCAAAGCCAAATACACTGAGCTCTCCATCTTTCACAATGGTATTGCCTTCTTTCACAGTTACAACCGTCGAATGTTTTTCCATGAGCCAACTACATAAAAAAAAAGTAATTCACCAAATTTTTCTCAAGAATTAATAAAAGATATTATTGAAGTTCTTACCTAGGATGGCTAGCGACAAGTACATACTTTCCCGGCTGTATGGGTGTGAATGAGAAGACACCATCATCGGAGGTAACAGCCAAACCCAAACGAGATTTATTGTGCTGATCATGCAGTGAAACAGATATGCCCTTTAGTTGTGAGGCAGTCTTTGTTTTGGTAGCAGCGACGACTTTACCAGTTATACCAAAGCCCGTGAAAAAAAAGTTAATATCCCTCCCTTGGCTGCAATGATCTTCCTCGGAACCGTCAATGTTCAATTCAACCTTGGTCGCATTAAAACTCCAGCCTCTTGGTGGCTCAAGTTTCAAAACGTATTCCCCCTTGTCGTAAACGGGCAAAAAGTAATAACCAGTGTTTGGTGCACACTCTATTTGACCTTTTAAACTACCGCTCTTCGTGTACCTGGTAATACAAATTAAGCATTTAATTCCTTGGTTAGAACTTTAAAGAGTAATCATTATCCATGTAAAATTCAGTGCATTCGACAAAGACGCAATTTACATAAGGAAGAAATGAATTTTTCATTCAATGATATCATAAAAAACTTGTCGTGAATAGTAAAGATGTTCTTGAGAACCACTGGACATTCACACCAAACAAATCCACAAAGTCCAAAACAATTCATTCGTACGGAAATGGTAAACTGATAAATGAAAAATCAACCTGGAGATTCATGATACTTAGTAAGGGGGAAAATAAAAAGAGAGTTCAGAATAATAATGAAAGAAGCAATCATAGGTTAGACAAGGCCGAAGATGAGAGGAACCCACAGTTTGACGACAATCTGCTTGAAGTCGATGTCGGCGTTGTTTTCACTGCGAACGTAGCCACCGCAGCCGAGGACATCGTCCGCCCGGGCACAAGGATTATTCAAAACGAGCAAACCCAGCAAGAGACCGGCAAGGATTTTCGAAAACATAATGCGTGGCAAGGATGACATTTTGCTTGCCTGCAGCTTACTAAAGCTGATGCAGACATGCAGTGTGCATTTCTCTCGCGTGATCAAAACCACCGTGGTCAGGTAAGGTCAGGTGTAGCTATTCAGGTTTAGATAGGGCATCCGGATGTAAAGGTTAATTAGGCCCTTAACAGGCCGCCTCATCGATAGCGATCGATCATATTTTATGTGTATAAACATTTCTCTACTTAGCGTCAATTATGAATGCAAAATAATGAAAAAAAAAAAAAAAAAAAACAATTTTTCCGTATAAGAATGCACAAGCCATGATTATTTGTGTAAAGCAGGATAACATACATTCCTAAATCTTGTGCACGATCCTCGCACTCGTGTAATGATCGGCATATTTTTCGATCAAAGTCGAAATGACATATAACGCATTACGCAAACACAAATGACATCAATAAATATAATAATCACGCGTTGGGATACAAATGGGCATACAAAGAGTATAGATCGCGAATATAGCCTTGAGCTTACGCGGACAAATCGGCTATGGTAATAAATTTTGTAGTCTTCAACACTATATTATTAAGTACACCGATTTGACGATGTATATATACTCGTTACGTGTAGTAATTGCGCGTAAATTTGAACTCGTGTGTTATCGGTATCGGTTTAAGCAATGTATTACTAATGCGTTGCGTGTAGTAAAAAAAAAATATATATATATATATGTGTGCGTGTGCACTTATCGCCGGAAACCCCTACCATAAATCGACCGCAAAATTGTTGCGTTTCTGCCGGATATTTTTTCGATCGTGCATATAATACGTACACATCCATCAATCGCGTTACGGCGCAAAATCGGCGCTTCCTCTTGCGAATGTTGAATGGGAAAAAAAAAAAATCGCGTGACGCGTATAGTACGTATATGCATCTCCGCGTAACGTGCGTGTGCACGCACAAGAAGAAACGTAGAAAAATTTAATCGGAACTATATGATTACTGCGTACTTGTTTCAAGTCCGATATTTTTATTGTCTCGCGGTTTGTTTTGTATACAAAATCCAACGCTTCATCCGCGAGTCTCGCGTTGTGCTATCAACTCCTCTAAGTACGTGTTTTAAGAAAATATTTTGAGTTCTTCCTTGGATTTTTTTTTTTTTTTTTTTTTTCCATGCGGCAGTCAAGAGAGAGAGAGAGAGAGAAAGTCCNTTTTTTTTTTTTGTCTTCAATCCCACCGCGAGTTTACAATTTTTTTTAATTTTGAAGCGTGGATGAAAAAAATTGTTTGAGTGGAAAAGTATTGCTAAAATCGACCGACTTTTAGAAACTAAATATTAAAAATCATGGAAAAATAGACTGACATTACCGTTGCTCGCTTTCGACCTTAGTAGCGTGATATATCGATTAATGGGGGCAGAATTTAATGTTATATCTGTGTGATACAAAACAAAAGTTTTTAAGTAAAAAGCTTACGTAAATAATGGCACATGGTACAAAAAAAGTAAATGCAAGCATAATTACAAATTATACTTTATTAGATATTCCTTAATTTTCAGTAATATTTATAATCTTTGCATTAAAATTCACTTGAGATTAGTCACACTTTTACTACAACATCCGTCATTTCCTTCTGTACGTTCGTACATGAGCATCAAGAGATGGTATGCATAATTTGCTGATAAAATTACCAAACTTTTTGGCTATTTTATAAGAAAAGAGACTTGTATTTGATTGATTGAAGAATTCGTTTGTCTAATCATGCCTTACATTAAATTAACTTTTTGTATAAAACAGAATCTTAAAATTTTAGACTGCAAGTGTTTACAAGTGTTTAAATGATCAGTACTGAAAATAAAATGTATTCCAACACTTTTTAAGATCTTTAAAAAAACTTGTCGATACGAAACAACTGTTTATTTATTGTCAGAAAATAAAAAAAGTATATTCCGTAGGATTGGGGCCGAAACATGTAAATTATCTATGATGGTTTTTTCCTTAAAAAAAAAAAAAAAAAATAGTCCAAACCCATAATAAATGAATAGCCCCGCAACCAAACGCGCGTAGCGCAAGGGGGGGAAAAAAAAAGAGTTACGCGTAGCCCGACGATTTCATCCTCTCAGACACGCTGGTTTGCAAGAACAAGAGAACAGAGAGGAAGAATAAAAAAAAAATAAAAATGAAAATAAAAAAATAATCCGCGCCAGTGATGCCAAGAGCGGCGCGACGCGAAACGATCCTCCCGTGCATACGTATACACATCCGAGACCCAACCGCAAGCGATCGCGTCTAGAATCCAACGTATCCCATTAAAACCCGCTCTCCTGCACGTATATAAACTGTGTATAGAAGAGAAAAAAAAAAAAAAAAAAATTGCGGAGATTTTGCACGGAGCGTCGCGAATTACACGTATCCGACCGCACGAGAGTCTGTACACGTAAGTTGGAGAGCGAGTATGTATATATATACGAAGAAGGAGACGTCTCGGCGGCGCCTGTTTTATTTTATATATACACATGAGTATCAACACGTATGCGAGTGGATCATCTTTTTTTTTAAATTCTTTTTCCCTTATTTTTTTTTTNAGCTTTCCAAAACAGACAGACGGGGTACGTATCTCGAACAAAAGAAGAGGAACTAGAGGCAAGTGCCATCCGTACGCGATTCGGTGCGCCGATAGCATGGCCATTGTCGTTATTCCTCCTCCTCCTCTGACGTTGCACTGAGCAAAAGAGGCAAAAGTTCGAATATATACCATTTTCCCCCGGTGATACATACAATGTACTTTGCCTGTCCTCTTATTGCTGCAGATGGTTTTTTTTTTTTTTTTTTCGTTTGTTTTCGTTCCATCGATAATTTTTTGGTGCCTTTTGTTCGTTCGTTCAGTTATCGGGGGTTTTGAGTTTATTCGATTTACAGAGCAAATCTTTTACTGGACGTCCGTCGCTTCAGCACAATGTTGGGCAGACAGGTGGCTGTTGTCCTCACTGTCGTTGTGGCCTTCTCAGGTGAGTAACGGTTGGCTAACTTTTTTCTTAAATGCTACTGTAACTGGGGACTTTTTGCAAAAGGTGTGCAATAAAAAAAAAAAAAAAAATCGGTACTGCAACGATATAAATCGTAGAGTCCATTTTATGCACTCTAATTCAATGTTACATCTTATCGCCGTTACAATGTCGCATAACAGCTCGTTTCGTAATTATCAGTGTATCGTCATTATTTGTGGGTGGGACGTACAGGCGTACTTTACCGCGTGACTGAACGTTAATTATTGTATCGGTTGTTCTTCAACTATATACTTACTTACCGTAGCGATTTAAATTTTTCAACAAAAACTCGACTCTCGACCTTTGAATTTCGTAATCAATTGATACGTTTGTTTAATCGTCAAACTTGACACTGTATTTTTGCCGTACGAGTGTGTGTATACACAGACATAGTTATATCTCTCGACGATACGTGACGTCGAAATTGAGTGATTAACGCGTGTATACAATTTTGCGGTGATTATTCGATAATCCGTTCTGTGGGAGATTAAAATTTTTTTTGGGAGAGAAAAAAAACATGCATACGATTGTTTCAGGAAACTTGATCGGCAAGACCCAATCGGCTCCGCCGAAAGATGCGACTCCCCAAAATTCTTTGCTCAACGAGGTGGAAACGATGATCGACACGGCCATCAAATTGATCCGCGAGCCGGCTACGTTCAAACTCTACACGAGGTAACTTTTTTTTTTAGAAGTATACAAATTGTAGAATTGTATACAAGTACAGAAATTTTCAGCAAACTTAAAAGTTGAATTTTAATATAAACCAATTATCTGCGGGGTACTGCCGTCAGTGAGATATTTTTAGTTGTCTTATGCTGGAAGAAAAATCAAGCGTTTAATACACTGAATTGAGAGTATACTGGGAAAAAAAAAAAAAAAAAAAAAAAAAAAATGTTTATGGCACACGAAATCGGAAAAAATTGTTCACACAATTCAATCAACGTATTTGCAACAAAGTTTAATACATTATCTTTAATATATACAGTTTTTATAATAACCATGTCCCTCGCACACTCGTCCGTATCGTAAGCATAAATTTCAAGTTTCAACGAGTAGTGTGGTTTATCAGCTTTAAAAAATAACAATTTAACGCAACGCCGATAGAGTTGCAATGATATAATGTGCATTGCTCACTGTGAACTTGCTTTTCCAGATTTTTCTCTCTCGCCTAACTTATTTCCATACAATTGTCAGAGCAGTTTTTTTTTTTTTTACTGTGTACGTTGAATTTGGTATTTTTTAAAAGTGTTTTTAATTTATTGTTAAAACTTTTTAGTCTTATCATCTCAGGACTACGTTATAAAGTATAATACAATAAACAAAAAAATATTATGACTTGATGAAGAAATTTTAGCTACAAATTGGTCTTAAAAAAAAAAAAAAAAAAAAAAAAAACGCTAACCACGTGTGGCGTTTGCGTTAATTTTACTTTTTGTTTATTTTGCGATCCCTCAATTAGTGTCAAAAATTTCGACGCCTACTAAGTGCGTCACACTTTCTTTTGAAATTTTGTTTATTTCGTTTATATTTAAGGAAACAAATATTTTGCCAATTTTTTGAAACGAGCCAATTTAGAAAAGAAAAATTTCTTATCTGAAGGGTTTTCACCTACAGTCCGACAATGAAAGGTCACCCATTTATCTCTTACTCAACTATTTACCTAAAAATCCCAAACAGAAAAATTTATCGTACGTACAAAGAAGAAAAACTGTTGTTTTTTTTCCCCCAAATAAATACTCGCTATATAATTTTAAAACAATATAACGCAACGAGTCTAGACGTTGATATACGCATATTAATAGACGTATCCCTCCCATGAATCAAGAGCGCGCGCCAAGTACAAAATCAAAACGATCGCGAAATCGTCAAAGTCGCCGAGAAGAAAACGAAATGTACGAAGAAGACGAAGATGAGGTGGCGCCGGCGCCAGAGCCGGCTCGTCAAAAGAGCGCCGACGTGCATTCATTAAACAAACACTCGCATACACACGCAGGAAATGACCATCTCACGGCGCGCGTCCGAAATTGGCGCTTAATTTTTTTCTTTCTTTTTTTTTTTTTTCCACATTTCGTTTCTGCACGTGCACAACTTCGTTCGTTAACGATGCGGCGCCCGGCGAAAATCAAGCGATAACGATCACCGCCGGCGTTGGCAAACCTCTGCTGCAGACACTGGTCATTTTTTTTTTTTTTTTTTCCTCTCTTCGCTTCACACCCTCTGTCTCTCTGCCGTGAGCGTCAATTGGACACGCGTATGTTTGTTTTAATGTTACACACATGACATGCGCACGTTTATATAGACAGACGGTGCGAGACATGTGCGCTATGATGGTTTATTTTCAGTGCTGACGAGCTCGAGTTGCGCCGGCCGACCAGTCGTGAATATATATATTATCGCGATGATAAAAAAAAAATAAAAAAATAAAAAAATAAAAAAATTGACGATACAAACGGTGTATACCACACATCTCTCTTTGCGCGCGAACTGAGTAGTAAAGCGTTGTACGTTATTTTATTTTTTATCTGTGCATATAACACGCATTGCGCGAAACGAAGGGCTTGCGCGAGTTTTTTTGTTTTTTTTTTTTTTCGCGGGGGCCGCGACTTTGACATTCGAAGCAGCGCGCGCGCGCTGGATGTACAACGTGTCGTTTGACGCGTGCTCTCGTTGCCCTATATGTTATCTTCGCGTTCTCGAGCTGCAAATACTTACTTGCTTTTACGATGGAGCTATTATTTTTCTTGTTTTTTTTTTGTCTCATAAAAGATTATTTGTTTGATGGGAAGCATAAAAACAATGTCAGGATGTTTGTGTTCGAATCGCCAAAAAAACTTTTTTTATGCTTTTTGGGGATTTCAGGGAAATCAACAAAACACAAGTTTTTATTCGATGTTTTTTTGGAAAATATCCCAATTCACAAACAGAGGCTATCGTGTGAAAATCGTTTGAAACGATTTTAGTATCATTTTTCATTTAAAATGAATCGTCGCCAAACTTGGTACGAGCAGAGCACCATTTTTCACGAGTATCTTTTTACTTATGCGCTTAAATATCATCCGAACGACGAGTATTTACATAATAATCACTTACTGCGTCTATTGACAATTTTCTTTTTTTTTTTTTTTTTTTTACATTTATTAAAAATCTAAAGTTGTAAAAAATCGATCGAATCGATGTAAAAATCCATGAATTTTTATTGAATACGTATACATCGTGCGTTTTTTCTGCGAACTTGGAAAATCTTGGGATTATTTAATCTGATGCAAGATTCAGATCAAACGAGCGATACACATTTATTTAGGTCATGTGAGCACATGTGGTTGGAGATGATAGTTGTTTCACTCGCGCGTCCATGGGTATAGGTGACTAAGCGATGCAAGTTGATGTTACACTTTTTGCTAGTAAAAAAAAAAAAAAAAAAAAATTGAGCAAACCTCATCGAATGCAAAACAATATCATGATCATCCGGGCCTACGATCTTTAGCCCGAAAACTAACGCAATCGATCCAAGAAGACGCTGGAATTTTTTTCATTCGCCGCTACAGGATACAATTGATATTTTTTTTTTTCAAGGACTCCATCAGCTCTTTTTGCTTCTCAAATTCCCCTGACCTTCGATTTATCCAAATGAAAATTCACACGTGCTCAACGTTGATTAACCCTTGCAGGGAAAATCCATTCGGAGAGGAGCAGATGTTGCTGAACAACACGGAAGTTTTGTACGCCTCGCACTTCAACGAGAGCCGGCCGACGAAGCTCATCATTCACGGATTCAGCGACACGGGCAAAGAAGCCTGGATCCGAAACCTGATCGAAGGTGAGGGAGATCGATTTGCTGCACGAAAGCTGATCTTTTTGAGAAAGAAAAAAAACAAATAAAAGATGTATCTCCTCGGAGCTACGATAACCCCGCGACCGGACCTTCTCGAATCGAAATTTTTCTCGCTCACGCTTTCGCGATGGAAAAATCATATCCGCGCGATTGCGCTTCCTAATTGCAACGAGTGACATCATCACCATCATCATTTTTCCACATTGAACAAATGAAGATCATGCAGTGATCGCGTGTCCATCGGGGCTTTTTTCTCTCTCTCTCTCTCTCTATCTAAAAAGTAGTAAACAAGTATGAAGTTTGTACCCCTCTTGTTTTCCAGCCTACCTCAAGTATCAAGACGTGAACGTGATAGTCGTGGGCTGGGGCATATTGGCGGCCGATCCTTACCCAACGGCAGCCAACAACACGCGCCGCGTGGGCGAGTACCTTGGGCTCTTCCTGGATTTTTTGAGCCGCGAGTCGAACCTCGAGTACAAGGACGTGCACATGTGCGGTCACAGTCTTGGCTCGCACGTGGCTGGTTTCACCGGTGCCTTCCTCGACGGTCGTATCGGCAGAATAACAGGTGAGTCTTTTACCCCGCGCACATCGACACGAGCCCGTTGTCTAGGGGTGATGCACGACACCCACCACATCGATTGGTAATTTTTCTCAAGGTCTCGATCCGGCGAGTCCGCTCTTCGAGACGGCCAACGGAGTCGCCGATCCCGCGGACATCCGCCTCGATCCGACGGACGCGCAGTTTGTCGACGTGATACACACCAGCGGCACCGCTTTTGGCTTCCTCGCCGCCATCGGCCACTCGGACTTTTACCCAAACAGCGGCAAGTTCCCGCAGCCGGGATGCAATTTCGGGCCCACCGACAGTGAGACTCGGTTTTTTTTTTGCTTTGAAAACAATTATTGCGACTCTTTGTAAATTTTTTGTCGGTACACAGCCTACTGCAGTCATACACGGGCTTACCAGCTGATGACGGAGAGCATAGGCAGCACGTCAGGATTCAAGTCAAAGAGCTGCGAGAGTTGGGAGAAGTACAAGGACGGACACTGCGACCACAATCCGATCGTTCTCATGGGAGAGTACGCCTCAACATCGTGAGTGTAGCGCCACGTGATTGTTGGCCGGACCTTGGTGTACTTGAGTTGTGATTGATGATTTTTTTTTTTTTTTTTGTTTTTGCAGATTGCGAGGGAAATTTTTCTTGGCGACCAAGTACCCGCCGCCTTTCGCCATGGACTGAAGTTCTCGTGAAATCGACGCTCACAGCTTCACTCTGTACGATTTGTCGCGCTTTCAACTAGTCATTTGTCAGATACTGTATTTATACGTCACGTCGCACGTCTAACTCGCTCTCTCCCTTTTTATTGGTTAATGATTTTCAAACGGAATTCCTTTTTCTTTCCACTGATTAAAAAAAAAAAAAATTATTATTACAACAGTAAAAAGGAATTATCGATGCATCGTTTAGGAAAAAAAAAATAATAATAATAATAAATAAATAAATCCAACATCTTAGCTGTACTTGTAAGGATAACGAAATTTTGCATAATTGTTAATGTATATGTAATGAAACGATCATATAACTTACAATGTGAATGGTCAAGCGAACTAAAGGAATGATAATATCTATAGCTGCTTTGTGAAATCTACACCTAGAGAAAACTACACAAGCTTCTTTAAACATGTATTACCATCTTTATTTTTTAAATAATTTTCTCGTTTAGTTTTGTATATGATTATTATATACATCATCATTAAATGTATCTACTCATTCATGACGTGCTTAAGGAAAATCAATAACCTAGGCGGTTCTTTTTTTTTTTGCTCATAAAAATATTTACATGCATAGTGCATTACATTGATTCATAAGATAACATAAGATTCAATAATAAAAAAATGATCGAATAACCAGCCTAATTGACAGTCGACATTTGAATGAAATATTACTCACTTGAATGAAAAATCAGCCATCGGCAGTAAAAAATTGTCATTAAAAAAAGAAATTATCAGTTCTCACTTCATTTTTTTATCTGATTAGAAGCTAATTGTTACTTTTTCTTCTTTGATTTTTTATGGCTGGGTGCTGCAGTCGTTGATCCTGTCAATTCACTTAATTTTTGTTTCATCTGTAGAAGAACTTTCACTTGTGGTTCCCACACGCTCTTGTCGCCTTGGGCTTTTAATTCTCGTACTAGATTGCCCTAGTTAGTAAAAGCAAAAACCACTGTCAATTAACTGATACAAAACTTCCTCTAATTATTTATTACCGATAATACATTTCAAACAGCTTTGCTAACGCCAAAAATGCTATTATTTAATGAAGCAAACAAATTCTTAACTTTTGATGAAAAATATATATATAAATAAAAAAAATATCGCTACCGAATACTTCTATGATTACTTGTTGAAAATAAACGACCATTAGTATTATTATTTGTATTTAGAAAATTTCAAAATATGAATCATAGTTAACAAACAAAAAACTTAATGTACAGTTGAAGGCAAGAGCTAAAAACTTTGTATAGTTCAAACAAACTTTAGCCTAAAATAATTGATCAACTGTACTCACTTGTTTTGCGATTGCTGATTCAAGTTCGGCGACGTCTGCAGGAACGCTGTTATGTTGAGTCGCGGGCGTGGTCAAATTTGGTGATGCCGTTTGCGCTATTGACGGAGATATCTCTGGTTTACTTTTGCTCTGCAAATCAGCTAATTTTTGCTTCAGTTTTTTCAGAATCTCCACTTGCGGCAGCCAGACGGACTTTTCTTCCGTTGCTTTGAGCTGTCTGACAATATCGCCCTTTCAAAATAGAAAAGAAATAACTTTCGACTATTGTTCACAGCGATAGCAATCACAACAAAATATAAGCTTACCTGTTTAGCAATCGACGCTTCTAAGGTCGCCACATCAGCGTGAGGTGCGGATGTACCTTTGGGCGGCGGTGTGGGCTCTTGTCTACCTGCGTAACTTTTTCTTAGCTCTTCGACCCTTGAGTCCTCTATTTTAGTAAATAGCGGCGAAGGCTTGCCAATACTGTGGCCTGTCGATAACATCAACGTCACGACCTCGGGAATATAGCCGTAGTTTTGTTTCGTTAATCCTAACTGAGCTCTAAGCTCGCGTGCTGTGTTCGGCATGTACGGGGCTATCAGAGCGGACAGGAGACACGCGATGTTACAGCACACGCCGATGACAGTGGCCCCCTTCTTCCTGCAACATCAAATGGATCAACCATGAAATTACCAATCTCTAATTTACTTTGAAAACCAAGGCCACGAGCAGACATACTTTTCTTCCTCGTCACCCTTGACCTTGACCCAGGGCTGCTGGTACTGCATGTACTGATTGCCATGCTTCGAGATAGCCAACACGTGTCTCAGTCCATCCCTCAGCTTGGCTTGCTCCAAGAGTGTAACATAACTTGTTAACTCGCGCTGAATCAGCGCAAGAACGCGCAGATCGTCTGCCTGGAGATTTATCTCTGGCACCTTGGAATCGAAATTCTTCTCAACAAACATGAGAGCTCGGTTCACAAAATTTCCAAAGTTGTTCAGCAGTTCGCTATTGTTTTTCGTCGCCAAGTCAACCCAATTGAAGTTTGAGTCCATATTTTCGGGTCTGATGTAAGCCAGGTAGAAACGCCAAACGTCGGCAGGTATGCCAGTTTCTCGAGCGTCTGACCCGAAAACACCGACTCCTCGGGATTTCGAGAATTTTGTGTCCTCGTAGTTGAGATACTCTGGAGAGAATATTTTTTTGATTAATTTTTTGATTAATTCACGGTTACAGCGAAAGAGGACTTACCAGTCGCCATAAGATATTTGATGATCGTGTGTCCCTGATTAGCTGCAAATAACGTGGCTGGAAACATGATGCTATGGAAAGGAACGTTATCTTTAGCCATAAACTGGTACAGGTCCACGTCCACGTCCTTGGGTTTCCACCACTGCTCGTATTCTTTGGTGTATTTCTTGGTAATACTGATATAACCAATGGGCGCGTCAAACCAGACGTAAAAAACTTTATCGCGATAACCATCCAAGGGCACTGGAATACCCCATTTCAAGTCTCTCGTGATACAACGTTGCTTCAACCCATCCCTGAGCCAAGGCTTCATAACTGATCGAGCTACTGCGGACCAGCCGTTCGTTACTGTCGGTGCCCACTCTTGTAAACGCTTTTCAATCTATAATAGTGCAACATTGTTAATAAAATTAGCTCGAACATTTTGACTCGCAGCAATAAGTGTTACCTTGGGCAAATCCAAAAATAACTGAGTTGACGCTTTGATTGTTGGTCTTGAATTACAAACTTTACACCGAGGGTTTATCAGTTCGATGGCATTTATGAGGTGCCCACAGCCGTCACACTGGTCGCCTCGTGCATCTTCGTATTTACAGCCTGGGCATGTGCCCTCAACAAATCTGTCTGCCAAAAACTTATCACAATTTCCACAAAGAAGTTGGTCTACAGAGTTACTGATTACGTAACCCTGCTCTAAAACTCTCAAAAAGATTTCCTGCGTCACTCTGTAAGCAATTTTGTTTGTTTGAACAGTTTTTTTTTTATTTCCATGATCGTGGATTGTTTACTCACTCAGTCTGTTCTGGCGTCGATGTGCGACCAAAATAATCAAAGCCAATGTTGAACCATCGATAAATATCGTTATGAATATCAAAATACTTGTTGCAAATTTCTTGAGGAGTCATTTTTTCCTCAAGAGCCTTGGCTTCGGTGGCCGTCCCGTATTCATCCGTTCCAGATATATAAAGTGTATTATAATTTCTCTGTCGACAATATCTAAAAAATATAATACGTAGAATGTACACCAGATGTTCAAAGAGTAAATTCAATGTAAGCATACCTTGCAAAGATGTCCGCAGAAAGAACACAACCGATTATATTTCCTAAATGCGGTACGTTATTTACATACGGAAGAGCTGAAGTAATTAAAATATTTTTCTCTCCTTTTTTGGGTAATCTAAACACACAAATAAATTATTGATTTCTGTACTACATACTGTGATGCCAAATAAATCTTAAGCTTACATTGGATACTGAGAATCCTTTACACAAGAATAAGCAACAGAACTCCAGTTATTTTTAACAGCATTCAGTTCTTCTTCGGAGATTACTTTAACCTCATCAACAGGATTTTTCTAACAGAAAATTAAACAAATGTTAACTTTGTCTCACGGTATCAAGAAAATTATCATATGTAGGTACTTACTTCATGAGCTGCAGGAGCTTGTGCATTACTTAATTTTTCAGCACCAGTGTACAAATTCAGAGGATACCAAGCTGCTGCACTGATTGCAACAATAGCTTGGATTCCTCTTTCCAACTGTACCTTTTCTAATGATTTCGTAATCTCGGGCAGACTTTCAATACTTTTTAACCACTTGGAGAGATTAGAAAATTCTTTGGAAATAATTTCACCGATTTCAGTGGTAACTAGTGTTGACCAGAGAGTTACCCAAATGGTGGTGTCAACCACAGTTACATTCTTACACTACAATAATAGCATTGAAATTCAAATATGAGGATAAAAAGAATTAGTTAAATAACCAATAAAAATATCGAAACTTACCTTAATCAAGTACTCTTTGTCCTTCAATGCTGTGTTCAGTTCCTTCAACAGGGACCATATTCTTGGCTTATGTGATGTGTCCAGTTTCCCAGACCCACCGTAAGCAACTATTGCAGGCTGAAATAAAAAGAAAACAGGTCAGGCAACTATTTCACTCTCAAAGGAGATTGACATTATTATTTTACCAGCAACTGAGTCGCATCCCATTCTAGCCATCTGTTAGCATCCACATTGTGCTCCTGGCCAACAGGTGCAATGTACTGAACTGCTGAAGACAAGCTGAACAGTTCGTCTCCAGTAGATGAGATTTTTAGCACAGGCAAACGATTCGCAAAACTCTCTAAAAAATGTACCAGAACTCATTTTCATTATCATACTTTTAAGTGGGATCTCAAGCGTGATGTTGCAAGGTGGAACACAGGAGAGTGAAAATAACTTATAAACGAATGAGTGCATATACACAGAGAAGATTTTAAAAAATACGTGCAGAATCCCAAGATTTTAAGTTGATAAACTTTGTCTTTCAACAACGGTGCAGTTAATATTCAAGGAACTCTCTGAAGTGCAAAAAAGGGTGGAAGGGTTAGCGTGACTCACGTTTGGGCTCGCGTTTTAGGTCGTCGAGGTCGAGTCGGCAACCGGCTAATTCGGCAGCGATGATCAGCTTCAGCACGTTAGGATTATTTGAATTCGACGAAGCTTGCATTTTTGCACTTTCTCTAATTAACAATTTTTTAAAATAAAGTTTTCACTGTCTGCTTGAAACGAAACGGATTAACACACGCGGAGTGCAAACGCCGGCCCAATCTGCGCATCTGCACGTGATGCAATATACTTAAATGCACAGTTGCATCAGTTGCATCGTTGCATGTACAATATTGCACAAGTACGGAAGCCCGGTCACGAAATCAACATAAAAAAACGCAAAAGAGTGCAAAAAACACGTAAGTACATACGAGTACGCAAAATCACGTACGAGTGCAAGAAAGCGCGCGCACAACACATGCAAAGCAGACGGTTTTTATTTCATTTTGTTTCAAAAGTATAAACATATTGGAGATCTATTTTCGGGTAAAAGATAGATTGAAAACTTGCCGCAAATGGCACAACCAACACCAACTTTTTATTTTATATGTATAAGATTAGTTGCGGCTGGTTTATAGTTGATTACATAGCTCTACTGTAAGTTGTAATAATTATGTGGATCAGCGCCATCTAGCGTTGCGGATTTCTGAACGAAAAAGTGGCCCTAAACTTTTCAGCCAGAGCATTAGCGCTTAGAGCCATTTAGTGAATTATAAACCAGCCGCAACTAATATGAGAGATATAAAATAAAAAAAAAACGATACATGTGTTTTTGGCGGCAAGTTAACAATTTATCTTTTACTCGAAAATTCATCTTTAAAAGTATAAATACATATGAGGTCAATTTTTGGTAGAAAATAGATTGTTAACTTGCCGCCAAAAACACATGTGTCGTTATTTTTTCATTTTATATCTCTCATATTAGTTGCGGCTGGTTTATAATTTACTAAATGGCTCTAAGCGCTAATGCTCTGGCTGAAAAGTTTAGGGCCACTTTTTCGTTCAGAAATCCGCAACGCTAGATGGCGCTGATCCAAATAATTATTACAACTTACAGTAGAGCTATGTAATCAACTATAAACCAGCCGCAACTAATCTTATACATATAAAATAAAAAGTTGGTGTTGGTTGTGCCATTTGCGGCAAATAAATTTTCAATGTTTTTTTTCCCTTACCGCGTGATAAATTTATTTAGAATAAAACGGGTCATTCGACGCCCTTAGAATAATAAATGTTTATTGTCATCTTGTGTCACGTACATGTATGTATATAATTTTGTCGTAGTAGGGTTTATTCATGAATCTAAAAAAATTGTCGCTATACTTGAAATAAATTATTCATATTCATGCACCCCGTGTGCAGGTAAAAGCTACAAGGGGCGCGAAAAATATAACGCGCACCTGTCGTTTACTGAAAGTATACTTTTCACGTATGCAAATTGTCACTTGTGTACAATCGCGAACGACTGCACTTATTTTTGTTATTGTTCTCGATGTTAATGGCGAAATGACGGTAATGACGATGTCGACGATAATACTATTATTTTGTATCCCCTTTAAGTGGATGAAATTGCTCGTAATGAAAAATTTTTCTTATATCCCTGAATTGGCTGTATACCGATTTCGTAATGAATTTCACGAAAGCATACGAGTAAAAGTAATACTTTTGACGTGAAAATATATAAGTTTCCATCGCGAATTGCAAAAGTATATACACGTCAGATATTTTTTTTTTTTTTTTTTTTTTTTTCAAACAATGGATTTTCACAAGAGCCGGTATTTCAGCATAAACAAAAGAATGCTTAAATGCATGGGCCTATGGCCGTATCAGAGCAGTCTCACGAAGATTGTAATCCACACTTGTACCACCGTAATTTTCATCATTTTGTTTATACCCCAAGTAAGAGATATCACTTTTTATTTACATTCTGAAATAATTTTAAATCATCATCATGTAAACAAATACTTTTTTAAATTTGGTTATTCATTGCATTAAACGGAAAAAAAGGATTTACTTAATGTTCCGTAAAGATCTGTTGTTTTAGTATGCACATAGGCCACAACGGAGACAAAACAATGCAAGCGGCCGCAGTGACAATCTACATATTTGTGATATTTTTAAAATCAATAGCAGTGATGATGGCAGAGAATAAGGTTCAAGTTATTTTTATCTTTAACATATTACATCGTGTGAGAGACCAACAAAAGTAATAATGTTATGAATGAATGCATATGTGTATACGCACAGACACGCAAGATGTACGAGAATATTGTTGATAACTGGAAGTTGTTGAAAAACGAGGATGAGTTTAATACGATGAAGGAACACTCGGAGTTCGGGAAATTGTTGACGATCGGATACATTGGTATGTACATATGATACATAAGTATGTCGTTAATCTGCATCCCTACTCGCCCCAAAATTTAAAAATCAATCCACGCCCTCCAACGTGAATTAATTTTAAACGAATTTTATACTACGTACGCGTACAGTTGTCTTGATCGTTAAAAAAATGTACGCTCATTTCGTTCCTTTCAGAAAATGGCACATGCAATGTATCGTATGCAATGTATTCTAATTTTTTCTAAGTTTTTTTTTTTTTTTTTTTTAAAGTAAATTAAAATTGAACAGAAAACCTGAAAAAAACACCGTTTAACGATAATTATCATGTGACGTATTATTTAACAACTGTAGCTAATTAAACTTTTACGGGGTGCATGACATGAAAGTCTCCTCAAAAAGGGTTGAAAGCAGAGAAAATTTAAATTCGGGAAACATGGCGTAGTATAAATGTGGGCTACTCGTTGATATCGCGTGCAAATGAAAAAAGTTGTATGCGTTCGTATTTTTAGCCTACATGTATTCAGCGGGGACGTTTTTCGTTACCGTGCCATTCGTCCCAATTTGCATAGATTACGTATTCCCGACCAACAGCACCAGGATTCGAATCTTCATATTGGACGGGGAATACGGGGTAGATAAATTCGACAATTACGGAAAAATCTACATTTTCGAGAGTTTCACCTGTATATCGACGACTTTTATTTTTTGCGCTCTGGATACGACCTACTCCACCTGCGTTCAACAATGCGTTGGGCTGATGGATGTGGTCAAGTGAGTGAGTTTGAACGAATCTCATTGCTTTTACGCATTGACGTGTGTATACGCTCTGCACGCAATACCCTATATGTAAATTATGGATATATCTTTCTACTTTTCAGGATGCGCTTGAAATTGGCCACGAAGCGGGACCGTTCAAACGAAGACGGCAACTATCACGCGATGAGAGAATGCATCATATTGCACAAAAATGCCTTACAGTTGAGTTTACCGTAGATAAGTATAAATCATACAAGATGGTAAATAAAGTAAGAAATCGGTTATTGGCGATCGGTTATCGGTTCATGATGTAATAATAATTTTTATATGTTTTTTGTGATTTGATAAATGGGATCGGACAATCGCTTTGCCTTTTTAATAAATAAATAAAAAATAAAAATAATCTATGTTGTTCTCTTTTGTAGTTTTGCAAAAGTACTCGAGTCTTCGTATTCTACGAACTTTTTAATTGTAATGGCAACAAATGTCCTCATTGTCAGCGTTGGTTCCGTAGTGGTAAGCAAAAAAAGATAAACTGAGTATTACATCTATGACAAAAAAAAAAAAAAAAAAAAAATACTCTACTACGTATACATGATATTGAATAATAATATTGTTTCATTTAATTTATAGATAATTATGAATTTAAATAGACCTCTGGAGTTGATAAGATTTGGCTTGATTTACATAGGGCTTTTCATACACATGTTTTACCTTAGTTGGCCCGGCCAGCGTTTGGTCAACATTGGCAATCAGCTTTACGAGGACACGTGAGCGTCTCATTTAACGGCAAACCCATTATTTTAATTTTTTTATTTGTATCAAACAAACAGTACTTTGTATCCAGGTACAACAACGACTGGTACCAGTGTTCGATAGAAACGCAGAAACTCTTGAGATTCATGATGATGCGGTGCAAAGAGCCGTGCCATTTGACAGCTGGTGGACTGTACGTCATGAACATGGCCAATTTCGGATCGGTAATCCATCGATGTATTTTTTGAAATAAGAAACTTATTTTTCCCATCAATCATACGATTTGCAATTTTTAAATATTTCCAAGCTTCTCAAGACTTCGATGTCATACATCACGGTGTTTTCTTCGTACAGATAAAGTATATAAACTCTGGAGGACAACAGTATTCGAGGATTCAACAGAAAATTATCTAAACAATAAATCTTAGTAATTTAAAACTTGTCACGAATAAAAATACACTTTGAAAGCAATTATAATTGTGCCCTTTATAATATTAGGAAATAAAAAAAAAAACGAATGACATTTTTGGAAAATGTTAAGTATGTACTTTGTGATGCTCCGAGAGAAGCCCGACAGCCGACGATGTTGGCATAAAAATTTAAAAATAAATAAGTTCTGATCAAACTGGAAAAATTGGAAAATTCACAGTAACAGTGGAAATGCTAATAAATAAAAGTTAATAAGAAGAAAAGAACGCTTACAGAGGCTCTCCTAAATTCCCGCAATAGCAGTATCTGTGGCTATTGTATGAAATTTTCGACCGGTAGTACTGAAGAGATGACTCATCGGGATTCGGCTCAAGAATGAGTAAAAAAATCAGTTTTCTGTGGAACAAATTGACCAACTCGGTTTGGAACTCTATTTTCCTGTTCTCTTACCAAGAAGAGCTGAGGCCCGAGGGTGGTCGAAAAAATCTAGATATATATTCTCGGAGATCCGTAACATTACTGTTATAATTCATTCTGGTGAAGAGGTATGTGATAATTCAAGTTGTGCTAAGTAGTCAAATTTATAAACCAACACTAACTTCGACCAACGGATTGAAAGTAAAAAGTTTTTATGCTAAAGTGCCATTTGCGTCAAGATTAAAATGTATCTTTTACTCGAAATTTGACCTCCAAAAAATGAATCTACGGTCGATTTTCAAGTAAAAGATAAATATTAATCTTGCCGCAAATGGCACTTTCTCAACAAGTTTTTTATATTCTATTTATTGGTAAAAGTTGCGGGTGGTTTATAAAATTGACTACATGGCACCATTGCACTACTTTAATTACTACATAACTCTTTACCAAAATGAAATATGAAAAAAAAATTTACTATTTCAACAAATCATAATGTTTTTCAACTTTTGTCAAAGTTGCGGCTGGTTTAGATTTTCTACAACCCTCGGGCCTAAGCTCTTGGTCTATAATGCAAACAATAGATTTGTTCGGCCTAGCGATTGAGAGGGTGTATTCCGCGAACGCTTCCAGCAGTATGCGGTACGTAGGTCATAGTCAATCCCTCATTCTAATATTTTTTTCATTTCTGAACTCCGAGAAATATATATCGGTGTGAAAATTGACTCACTGGCAGCGTCACACCTCGACACATATCCTAATACAAACATTGAAATAATAAACACGATTAGTTTGTCGTTTACCCATTTACTGTTCATATTGGTTTGCTTGATAAACAAACAATGCGTGATTGTGCCTCTAGAATATAAATCTAAAAGTTAAAAACATAGTTTATCGAGTGAATATTAGTTATTTTTTATTCTACCGTATTTAAAGTGACAAGAGTAACAGGAAGAGGTTAGAATGAAAATTTAATTTGTTTACCCTTATCATTTGGCTGAAAAAAACGTTATTGTTTGAAAAAAACTTGAGCAAACGCAGGTACGATATTTAAGGTATCCCAGATAAATCTCGGAGAAATGTCACCCGAGCCAAACCAAGAGTCTGTCGATGATTTGAATACGGTGCAATTGAATGGTGCTATAACAAGGATGCCAGAGACTGACAGCGAGGATGAGGACACTGGTATGAGTGCAGGTTACATGCCTCTTTCTCAGATCCCTGTCGAGGGCGAACCACTGGATGACGAGGACGACGAGGATGTAAGTGATATGCTATTATTAAACTGTACTTAATATCGTGTTGATAAATCGTGTGGTACATCCCACAGGATTTTGGATGGTCCTCTGCACCGATGGAAGCAGAGCCAAACGTTTTAGTGCCAAACGATCATTCGGATGTAGATCCGGAAACATTGGAGGTTTGGGCTTCGACGAGTAATGCGACAAACATCGACATGGACGCGGACAAAATAAGTCAGGTCAAGTCAGCCATGGCTTCCTTTACTCTGCCCAGCACGGCAATTCCTGAGTGGGCAAACACAATATCGGAGGATCGGTGGAAGGAGCAGCTTATCCACAGAATAAAGGAGATACAGAAAGATAAAAAGTAATACTTGGCGTCCTAATTTTTTTTTTTATTATAATTTTTTTTTTTTTCTTTATACGTAATTGTAAATATTTAACTTTGTTGATGAGAATACGAAAAATTAGATACAAAATCGTGAAATGTGTTTTTTTGTATACGCTAATAATAGTCTTGTGTATGATGAGGGCATACATTATGTATACTCATTACACAGAAAAATTTTACGTCTGTTAAATAAATTATGTATAATGTTACAAGAATACATCGTAAGGAATTTAAAAATCTGTTAAAGTATAGAAACCTTAATCGTATTCATTAAAATTATTGTACTACTAAGCCAAAAAAAGTACTGTATATTTTTGTACAGATGTAAATAAATACGCAAAGCATAGAAATTTTTTGTTTGTAAATTAACATTAGTGTGATGCTATCTTATAAAATTTCCGTATTTTTATTTTTATTTATATTAATAACAATATTACAAAGGAAGCACACCCAACTTTCACACTCCAATATCTCGTTATTTTTGACATACTCATTATAGGTACATATAAAATAACACTAGTTCACAACTGCTGAATGTTTAAAAAAAAAAAAAAAAAAAATTGACCGACAAACGTAAAGAAAACCACTATCGCAGTATGAATCTATGTAATGACGCGTCATTCGTGATCGATTATATTTACTGATGTGTCGAAGGTTTCTGGCACCCTTTGTAAGAATTAAAATATTCTATGGTTACTTCAAACCAAATTGCATGAGTTATCTAAATAAATTTTTAGTTGTTACAGAAAAGAAAAATTTGTCACACCATTCGGCGGGCAGTACAGTTGTTGTACAAAAAATAAAGGTATTGAAAAAAAAAAAAAAAAAGTTTCTAAACGTTGAATTCCGTCTTGATTTCGGTGGCTTTGATTGGATTGAGCTTCATCCTGAGAGTAGCAATGTCGTCGTCTATCCTCACTAATTTACGGAATTTCTGTAAAACACATAGATAAATCGGTTGACAGTACTATATACTACTACTTGTACCCAATATAGGGGTATGATGCATCATCGAAGCTATATATTAATGTTGTACCTCCGAGGCAGTTCCGGAGGTGACGCACCACTTGTAAATCATGTATCCGGGTATGCAAAGCATGGACGAGAGCCCGCTGAGCCAGCCCAGCACGTGACTCCACCAGGGATACTCGTAATCGAGGTACTTGACGGGGACGAATTTAACCACGTTGAACGTAAACACCCCCTGCGTTTAAACGACAATCTCGAGGTGTATACACGTATAATGTACCACAGCCGTGTATAACATAACATATGAAATATACGTACGATGCAGATGGCCGGTGTGGTGACGGTCCAACAGATCTTCCACCAAAAGCACGGGTAATAGCCGATCATGTCGCGTATGCCGTCGTAGAAGCGATTGACGCCGAACGCCCAGGCCACCGATATGCACTCGAAGAACATGAGGAAGAGCAGCACGAAGCCGCTCACCGAGTACGAGTCGAGCAGTTGGAACACGTACATGCCGCCCTGTCATATCATTTTGACGTTTCAGTTTGCAAAAAGGGGAGGGAAAAAAAAAAAAGTAAACGATTCTCGTTATACCTCGGTGACGCAAGAGAGTCCAATGATGTACGAAACGAAGCACACGATGGCGATGAAGATCTCCTTCCGTTTCCTCAGCAGACGCGGCCACTCGTCCACCGCCGCGGTAATGAAACCCTCGACCGTGCAGAACTTAAACGGGGGAGAAACGCAATGAATTATTTATCTTCATTCGTAGACCTAGCAAAATCAAACGAACTGGCATCGATCGGCTCGTACCTGACTGTCGAGACCAATGAGAAGCAGCATGAAAAAGAACAAGCAAGACCAGATCGGGGCGCCCGGCAGCTGAAGTACCGCGGACGGATAGACCAAGAACGCCAGTCCTGGACCTGTAGGATGAAAAAAAAAACAAAAAAAAAAAAAAACTCGATGGGCTCGCTCTGTCGTTTCATACGATGATAATGTAATACGCGGTGGATTATACCAGAGGCGGCGACGTCGGCGACAGGTTTTTGCTGCTCGTGAGCCATGAAACCGACCACCGAGAATATGACGACGCCGCTCAGCATACTCGTACAAGAGTTGATGCTACAGACGATCAGCGCGTCCCTTTTGCCATTGGGAGAAGTAAATAAAACAATAATCATGGCTCATTCGGGTGATCGGCCGATTGAAATAACAATAGCATTGTCCTTACTTGTAAACGTTGTTGTTGAACTTGTTGTAACTGCCCAGAGCGACGAGGGCACCGAGGCCCAGAGCGTAAGAAAAGAAGATCTGCGTGACCGCGTCTATCCACACCTAATAAACCTCGTATGTTTTAGAAAAGTAGTAATAAATCTTTTTTTTTTTTTTTTTTTTTCATTACAAACACACGGCAGATTCAGTTTTATCATAATAATTTCCAATCGTATGATTACTCCGTTAAGAGTAATGGTCACAAGTTATTTGAAAAAGGCGATGGTCAAAAAAGCTCTCGTGTTGATCGAAGCTATGAAACATCATGACTCAAACTTCAATTCGTGCGGGAGCGAGAAAGAGGGAGAAAAAGAAGACAATTTACCTCGGGCTCGCCCAATTTCGATAGATTAGGCGTCGCGTAGTACTTGAGACCCTCCATGGCGCCCGGAAGCGTCAAGCCACGTACGAGAAGCACCGCGAGCAAACAGTAGGGGAAGAGCGCGGTAAAGTACACGACCTGAAAAATCATTTTTTTTTATATATATAGTATTTCTTTTTTTCTTTTTCTTTTTTTTTTTTTACTCGAGCGATATGACGCATCCGAAGAAAGGTACAATATAATCACCTTTCCCGTCCACTTGACTCCCTTCCATATGCAAAAGTAGCACATTATCCAGACTATCGCCAGAGTACCGGCCAGTTCCCACCTGATGCCGCCCACTTCCTCGATGCCGCTCGATATCTGCAGCGTTCGCCTCCTGTGTCACGGAGATTACAATGTAACTCTGATTGTTACGTTTAAGCAAATAAAAAAAAAAAAAAAAAAAAAATTGCTAGTTAAGACGTGCAAGTGAGGAAAATGTGTTATTTCGAGGACTTGGCAGATTTTCCTCGTACTTTAGCTGACTTTGCAGAGTCAGAGATCCCGATTTTTATCTAATAACTAACAAATCATTTTATGATCCAGATAGTCGTTTAAAAACTTGAAACTCTATGTTTCTTGTCATATCTCGCAAATAATGAAACATCGAAAGTACAAGGACTCACTCCCAAAACTCCTTGACCGGATCTCTGAGCATCTTGTGGCTCAAGTTGCCGATGTAAGTCGAGCACACGGTGTCGTTGGCCGTGGACCAGCACGTCGATCTCATACGGTCTATCGGCGTTATGCAGTACTTTGTGTTCCACGGATTGTCGCACGTCCTCCACGGAACGTCTAGGATTTTTTTCATTTTATTCTTCCACACGATTATTTTCCTTTTGTGTTTTTTTTTTTTTTTTTTTTTTTTTTTTTTTTTTTCCATACAATACATAATGTGGTTCCAAGTGAATATTAAAAAGTAAGTATCAAACAAAACTTTTTGTTTAACACTAATTAAAATGTAAGATTTAAAATGACTATAACNTTTTTTTTTTTTTTTTTCTTTTTCTCTTTCCGTTGTTCTTAATACCACGAAGAGGTCGTATTTAAATGACATAAAATTTAAATGCCACCCCAGCAACGCCAAACGAACAGAGTCAAAGCATGTACGTCTCTTATTTATTTTTAATTCTTACTCAAAGCAAAGAAAAACCATGCGTAAAGGACACGCGATTAATCAGGAAAAAAAGGCCGGGGACATTAAAATTCAACGCGTCGAGCTCGTCAGTATCCCTTGCTCTCGGGGCCCTCCTATCCATTCAGCGGAGAAGAGAGCACAACCTCAAGTATTGAGCAAAATCAAGGCCACCTACACTCTCTATATACACAATATAGGCGAAATTGCTATTGGTTTAAAAAAAAAAAAGCTATAAATCGAGCCTTTGGTATTATCATAATAATAATTTATGCAAAAATGTGTACCCGATCGAAGGGATACCAAGAAGTAGAAGAGGGCCCAGGCGAGGATGATTATGTAGTAGATGTTCGTCCAGCACGACAGCATGCACGTCGCGTATCCGATTCCTGAAACAAAACGGAATTAAGGAATACACCTGCGTGCGCTTTTCTCTTGTTTATGCACCATGTATGTGGTACGTATACGTTTACTTGGCTCTCTAATTTTTTTTTTTTTTTTTCTGCTATGACCATCGTGGCATTTTTTCTTTGAAGAACGCGTGGATTTTTTTTTTTTTTACTTTTATGGAAATGCAAAGGCGAGTGAAATTTAATATTGCGGGCACGGTGCGTGCGTGGACAAGGCGAAGCGCGTATAGGTGATATTTTCATTGTTTTACGGCTTTTTATAATTTTTTAGTACATATATAATATTTCATCGATACGAATGTTATTGTTTTCGCGTGGAGGTAAAAAAAGGCCACGTTTCTGAAAATTCTCTTGGAAATTCAAGCACTGGTTTTACATTTTACGATGATTCGCGGGAATTGTTAACAAAAAAATTTCGATACAACTGTCATCCCCTAGTAATACGATATAATTAAAGTTTGTCGTAAAAAATAAACAAAAAAAATAAATAAATAAATGCTGTACCTAAAAAATAAATTTTAATACAATAGTAATGAGTCACTACGCATAACATTTGATAGGTATGACACCTGCACACGCAAAGAAAAAAAAAAAATCTAACGTAGGATACCTTTGAAGATCGGAGCGATTTTGAAGACACCGAGGCCGCCGATGGTCATCATCTGTCCTAAGGCCAATTCCATGAGGAACATCGGCACTCCGGCCAACGCAAGAGCGATAAAGTACGGCACCAAAAAGGCCCCACCGCCATTTTTGTAGCAAAGGTACGGAAACCGCCATAAATTGCCCAGTCCTATGGCCAGACCCACCACCGACAGGATGAACTCGATCTTTACCGTTGGCAGGAAAAATACTTATTAAATTTATCTGACTTGATTTTTCTTCACTTTCTTACTTTCGAAGAAGCCGATGGCGCGTTCGTTCGTGCACGTGCACCTATATGAGCGATGCGGTTAGCATGCGGGACGTAAGATGTTGGCCATTGAGTCGGAGCAGTGGGCAAATTTGATTCATTCGTCGAATCAAAGGGACTGTGCCATTGTGCATGCAAAGCTGCGTCCGCGCACGGCTGCTCAAACGTGCGCATAAAATAATCAAACTGACGTAATTTTATTTGGGTTTTTTTTTTTTTTTTTTTTTTATTTAGTACGTGTCCGCATAACTAAATTGAAAAGAAAAAAAAAATTATTACTCTAGTACGGTTTTTAAAAAATTTTACCACCCTAAGAAGAAAAAAAAATTAAAAAAAATTGTTACAAAAAACTTTTCCCACGATGGATTACCACAGTAGTCGTATCGCGATTTTTGTTATGAAAAGCAGCAGTAAACGAACGAGCCTTTTAATACCATGCATTTGACAAACTGCAGGTTAGTCTCCGGTGCCACGTCCAACTGGACCCGGTCGTTTATTCTACTTCAACGTGCCTTAAAAGCCTTACCGATCTACCCAATGAAATCGTCAGCGTCTACGGCAAGCAAAAGCGCACCACAAGCTCGTAACGTGGAGTAACCGACCTTGCTGCCCCACGTGCCTCGCTCGGGTATGTCCGACTCCTTGTTGGCGAGGGCAACCTGATCTGACTCGCCCCCGAGCGGGGCCGGGTGCACAGGCTCGAGCCGAAAGTCCGTGTGATGGTGGGACGACGAGGGGGCGGTTTGCTGCACGGGTTCGATGAACAGAGCCTTGAGCTCCTGCACGGGGTTAGCCGCTACGAGGCGCGAGGTTGGTGAGGTCGTGGTCGTGTTGGGCGACGGCAGGGGACTGGTCGACCTGTCGACTCGCCGGAGCTGCTCGATCGTCGACGAAGGCATACCTCGGGCTGACTCTCGGTGATGTCTCCTTTTTTTTTTTTTTTTTTTTTTCGTCTCCTTTGATTTTCCCCCTTTTTTTCCTTCGCTCGCGTGGCTGGCTCTGACTATGCCTTCAATTCATCTCATCCTCGTTATGTATACACCTATATAGGGTCGTGCGCTGCGGGTGTACGTGTGTAGGACCTGCGCGCATTAGAGATCGTTAGTATATAATGTGGAAAAAGAGAAAAACGGTGCGATGTTACAGGGGAGAGGGAGACCCCGCGTTTGACCTCGCGTGTCTTTTTGCTGTGGACCAGGGATGGGTTGGTTGTATGTGGGTATCGATGAGCGGATAGATTAGATTTATGCTTCGCTGTACGCGTCTGTGGGCGATGATTTATAGGGCCGGATGCTCTGTCTAGCTCGCGCGCGGGCTCGCTTGCTTTTTATTCGGGATCGAGGTGACGGGGTACGGTGGGAATTACCGAAATTAGAAGCAAAGCACGTTACGATTATTCACACCCTTTACCTTTTACTCGTCACGGAAGAATGTCCGCGTGAAAAATTAATGACACGTGAAAGTTACGTGGCTCAATAAAGCGTACGAATAGTTTACTTGAAACAATAACAGGAAGTATAGTTGAAACGAGATTTAATTTGAGCTTTGGTGTGGTAAAAACAAGAAAAAGTAGCTATTGAACTCAAAGATTGGAGGCACGATAGTCTTTTTGAACCAAATAATAATTGAAATCAAAGCTTTTAATTGATTTTACAGCAAAAAAAGGTACCTTAATAAAGGGTTGGATGTCCAGAGTGGAGCGTTGCCATTATTGGTTTTCTCCATAAAATTTGGTCAAATACATGCATCTCGTGATTCTCAAACAAGCTGTAACAGTTGCGTTGTATGGATGTGACGTAAAGTAGCCGAAAATGATCGGGAAGCGAAAAGCCATAAATTAAAGGAGGAACGTGAGCCGCGCTGGTGTGCTCATGATGATAAATGACGTACACAACGAGCAGCTTCCGGAGAAGGGCACGCCATACATGGGCTCGTCTCGTTTATTTTTCATTTTCAATCTCTTACCAAATGCAACCTTGCCCCACATATGCTCAATACGCACGATTAAACAAAAGAAGAAAAAGAAGAAAAAAAAGCTTGCACGATTACTTGTTATTTGTACATACACTAAGTATCGTTTTCTCGCGGCAATTCAATGGCACCGGCGATCGAAATATATATATTCGATGCAGGTCCGATTTGTTCGTCTCGTTTATTTTTTCCCATGCCAAGTATTTAAGGAGCTCTTGGTATTTACTTCACTATGGCCATGTATGTCTCTTGGCCAAAAAACAAACTAGAAAAAAAAAAGGACAATGGACGTGACACGTCATGCAATGTATCGTTAATCGCGTACACTTTGCAAAGAAATCTCTTGAGTATGTGTATGTACTTTTATACGTGGGAATGATGCGTAATGAGTGTATAATGGTCCCTCGAAATCGCCACAAACCTGGTAAGTACGTGTCACCCCTTGGACGAGTGAATAATCTCCGTTCGGCAAACACAACACACTGTACGGGAAAGAACAATACTCGAGTGAAGGAGGATCAGTGTCTCATTAAAATTGAAAAACGCAACTGAGGTGAAACACGAATGGGGGAACGAAAAAAAAAAAAAAAAAAAAAGGTTTGAACAAAATGGCACGGCTGATCCGAAGTAAAAAAAAAAAAAAGAAAAGAAAAGAAAGAAAAGGCCCTTCCGTGCGTTTTGATTACCTTGTTCGCACCAGCAGTCGCGCGATCCGACTGTCTAATCTTCGGAAAGCGTCTGGACCCCGTGCGCATTAACATGCATGCGTGCACCTATGTACACGGAGAAGCGTCATTGTGTGTTGGGCCACGATAAAAGCGAGAACGAGATGGAAGGAACTATATTAGAGATGAGGATGATGATTATGACGATAGGAAGCAGAGGAGGAGGAGGAGGAGGAGGAGGGCCTCGGGCATGGCGTGTATATTGAAGCTGTGGTATAGGGGAGTGATGCGCGCGACGTGGAAAAATCGGCGTGCCCGAGGCTCGATGGTACACTTACTGACTCTGTCCAGTGTGCTTCGTTCTCGTAATTTATCAGACCATGATATTGTCGATCATTCGGCGCCGATATGGACGATTATATGCGTGAACATAGTTGATTCGAGCTTTACAAAAAGACAGGACAGGACATTTTACGCTTTTTGCTACTCCTGGAAAATTATTTTTCTTTTTTGTTTGGTTCGAAGAGAATAATTGGATGGTTGTCAACCGATTCGATTATTTTACAAAAGTATGTGGTGGCACAGTACAAGAATTATACAAATGTTTGGTTCTTGTGGTGTGGCATTTTCGAATGAGGCTTTGTGGAAGGATACTTAATCGTTTTACTGGGACTTTGCATCAATAACATGAAATACAAAATTTTATAAAATAAGAGATATAGACCATGGACCCTTTGACTTGCTACACCAATTGTTGGCCCATCCAAATTTTGTTCACCCTATTTGATCTGTAATGAAAAAAAAAAAAGGGAAGAAGACACGAGCGTGTATTACGTATAGACAAAAAAAGTGGTGTGTATGGGTGTACACGTATAGTATAAATTCACGTATGTATAATTGATATAGGTGACAGCATCGGCGCACAGGCGATTCCCCCCTCGATGGCACACCGTTACGTGGGCATATTTAATACCGCAGTGGCATAAAGACACACACACATGTATGGACATGCACCTTCTTCTATTGGTCCATTCAACGAATTAGTGCCACTGTGTCAATCTATATTTAAGCCTCGGGTGCCTGCAGCAGTAGCCATCACGACCTGAACCTTAATATATGCATATATACCGCACGCAAATGCGCTCGCACACGTGACGTTCGAACTTCTCCCGTAAGGGACGGAGTCCTATCTCGTGTCCTTACCCCGCGTTTACATAAGTACTTATACTTAATGACCGAGCGACATTGCGTTGGGCCGCGAAGATACGATTGTGCGTATTGCGTGTCCTTTTATGCGACGATTCACGACTACGGAGTGTAGATTGTTGTATGCGCAGGTAATGGAAAAAAAAAAAAAAAAAAAAAAAAAAAAAAAAAAACAAGTTCGGGAGTACTCGCAATGTGAGTCCAAGTTTACATGAAAGAGGTTTGGATTTTCATGTTTTTGCTAAGTATACAACAGAGGCTATGTTAATAATAATTGTAAAATAATTATAAAATCAATCTGTCGACTAAAACACGTTTGAACGCAAGGTCGGATACGAGGATTTTGTGAAAAACATAAATTTTACAAAAAATGTTTGGAAAACTTTCGATGCGAACTAGGAAAATACTGCAGCTCATAATTCTTCTAATTTAAGTAATCACTGCTCCATTACTTAGTCAATACAAAAAGATTTAGTACACCAAATAAGTAGACACGAAACTATGTAGAAGAATCAGTTTAGTATAACATCGGTTAGTAACTTTTGCGTAGGAATAAAGTACGCTTTTAACGAAGGTCCACTTTAATCTAAAAATAGAGTAATTAACAAAAAAAAGTAAACAAAAAAATTATTTATCCATCAGTCCAAGAGTAATTTCATAAAACAATTATATATTACTCGATCGATTGGTCGTGGACATTATTACCGGTAATATTAGATAAATAATAAATAATCAAATGAGGGTGCACGTGAGAATCAAAGCCCGAACTGGTCACTCCCCGGCCTCTGGCGAATGAATTGCGTCACAAATTTGCCGCATAGGTGTATAACTTGACACGCAGAGAGCAGGGCAGGCTGCTCGCATCGCAAAACGGCATTGCTCATCTCTTTGGCTGCTTCACGTTCAATCAACTTCGTAATATATGGACCTGTTTAAGTATAAATGCCGGTGATGTTCACGGATGGTGGGTGCCATGTGTTACGTTGGCGGAAACATTTTGCGCGCACACCTTGAGACGCGAAGGGAGAGAAAGATACACGGGGATGATGTGGCCTTTGTGTTGCGCACTATATCCCGGTTATTTGATTTGACGATATTGGCGTGACGATGGTGGGTACGAAAATTATTTTTCAGTGGGTAAAAAGTAAGTGGAAAACGATGGAATCGGAATTTTTTGGGACGAGACAGTACAGTCGAACGTGTTTTACATTCGGAAGGAGCATATAAGTGGGTGCAACGCGAGTCGACGCGAAATAATGATGGCTCTCGTCCGTAAAAGGTCGTGGTGCGAATGCAAATGAAGCCTGATTGTATGCACGTTGCAACAGTGGTTAGAAAAAAAGACAGAGTCAAAACGATCGGCGGTAAGATATTTGGGTGTACGCGATCTTAGGCAGGAGAATACCTCGTGCGTTTGTACAAACGCGTCGTTGTTATTAGTTTCTTTGATTTTTGGCAAGCAGATTCAATGGGATTTATACATTTGAGGTAAATTTTAAATAATAATGTTTGATAATTTCAAAAAAAAATTTTTTTTTTTACGTTACTTCATTCGTGTTTACAACATGAAATCTCTTTGCTCATTATACTTTTGTAAGTTTAACTGCGTCGACTTGAACAATCTACTGATATTTTTTTATAATTACCATGATTTTTTTATAAAATTTGGATAACGCGTTTTTATATGCACAAAATTTTCATTGTTTCATTGATATAAATAAACATTTTAAAGTTTGTGTTTTTAACGACAAAATAAAACATTCTTGAAGCGATGGCATATCTTTCCACTTTATTTTTGTTCACGTAACTTACGTGATTGAATTGCAATATAAATACAATCAAATATATCATTCAAAGATTCACAATGGTGTGTAATAAATTAGTTTTATTACTGAAAAAAAAAAAAAAAAAAAACCTGAATAAACAATGCTTTGACAAAGATAATATACTATATCATAAAATGATAAAAAAAATCATGTCAGAGCTTACATTTTCATATACTTACTTCAAACATAATCCTCGAGACATGAAAAGTTACACTCTTATATTATATTATAGCAGTTAAAATACCAATTCCACGAAGAAGAGTCGCTGAAATGTAACTCGTGAACAACGCACGCATACTTCCTTCCATGTACGGATACAGCGCGGGAGCCTTATTGTTTTCCCACTCGCGTATGCAGGTGTAGCCCTGTACCTCGCCGTATAATAAAAACCTCACGTTCACGTGCTCGTGGACTCAGTTGGGAACTTGAAGCTCGTCGATTCGACATCGCTTTCGCGGATGACTTGGACAAAAGGATTGTGACCGTGTTACGGATACGGAGGATTTTTGTTTGAATAAAAATAATACAAAAAGTATGAATAATAACATGAATGAGCCGTTGAGGACCAGCTGGATGCAGAAGAAGGACAATCAGTCGTTTTACGTGCAGTATTTTCATACAAGTGTGATTTTGGAATTTTTATTTTTATACAGTGTGTTTTTGTGCGCGATGGTTTGATGAGTAGTAACGAGTGAAATACGCTTTTGCATGCAGGGTACAAATTTATTATCACCACATTGTATACATACATGAGGAATTAGATGCTGTAAACAAAACTATTTTCGGCGCCTAAAGCTTCAGAGTTATACAGCAGAGAAAAATATTATGTACAAAAAAATTGTACTTTTTTCAGTTTTACTACTATACAGCATTCAACATTTTTTAGTAGAATTAAAATTTATTTTATTAGAGGCAAATCCATGTTTCTTTCAACGATTTAAAATTTTTTTCTCAATCCGAAGTGCTTATAATCGATTTTATCATCCTTGTAAATTTTTTTTAGTTACAGCGAAAAGGAAAAGAATTTTTTTCGGATCGTATGAATACCAGAAATTTTCAAGCACAATGTAAAATATGATATATTTATTCTATGTCATGTATGATTTTTGTAACATTGTAGCACTGGTACACTAACATCAATCGGGAAGAGACATCAAGATTTCAAATGTTAAAAAAAAATTTAACCCCAACTTGTACACAAAAAATTGTAACTCTTCGAATTTGCTGTTATGACTATAAGATTTTAAAAATTAAAAAAAAAGAGGATTGTATCATTCAAGACTCGTGTAAAACACATTAAGCTTACATTTTATTCGTCGTTTAATTGAGCAAGACCAGGAATCGTACCTTCCAAAGGAGGGTCTCAGAAGCGAAGGTCTATATCGACCAAACCACTGGCTCTACTCACCGAGTACCGTTAACCATTGTATTTAACAATTTTAACAAACACGCGATAGATCCACAGATGTTCCGAAACCTCTCATTTTTACAATAACTTACGTCCCCTGATGGAAAAATAACGAAGCACGAAAAATTAACGAATTTTGCATTAAATTACGAAAGTAGATGGAGTTTAATTATTTGGCTGTAACAGATTATAAAAAAATAAATGGATGGATAATTAAATTTCAGATTGACAAAAAGTAGTGTTACGCAAAAGTATCTCATCGCAGTCGTGATTGTGTATTTCAATCTGTGCGTCTAGTTGAGTAAAAGCACAATGCGTGTACTCGTGTGATCAGAGAGTCAGGCGTGCCGCGAAACAACAACGACGACGGCGGTGAAGACGATCTTTGCGTGACTAGCGTAGAAATCGGCCGAAACAGTCGAGCGACGAAACAAATGTACATTTCACTAGCTCCACCCTCGGTGTACTTTTTTCTTTTTCCTAAGCGCTTTTTGCTCGTGAACCTGCGCCAAGATTCATCTCGTAGCGTATTTTCTGATTTTTGGTCCGCGAGATGGGCCGTATGAGTTCCGGTGAAAAACTAACCATTCCCATTCCAGCCGCGTTTCTCGTCTCGGTGTGTCTGCTGCTGTTGGCCTACTCGTTCTGGAGGAAAATAAAAAAATGGTCCCAAGACAGGGCAAGGATGATACGCTTGGCGTCCAAGTTGCCGGGACCGGCCACCCTTCCGCTCATAGGGAACGCTCTGCAATTCGCCTGCGGCCCCGATGGTCAGTCGATACGTCAATGTCAATCAAATGTATAGGTAATGGGGGAAAAAACTATTTCTTTTCCGATTCCAGAAACTTTGGACAAGATCAAGGAGATCGTGAGCAGCTACGAGTCGCCGTTTCGCTTTTGGCTGGGCCCGAAACTGTTTATAGTACTGACGGAGCCACGTGATTACGAGGTGAATAAACGAAAACAATAGGATTTTCAAGCTTCGAAGTAAAATTTCTTTTCAATCATATTACCATACAATTCTCAACAGTACATGCATGGAACTGGCAAAAAGTAGTTTATGGTAAAGTATTTGATCAAATATTCCAAGTACTTTGGCTCGTGACTTAAAAAACTTTGGTCAAGTACTGTGTTGTGTGTAGTGTTTAAAATAAAATTTTCAGCATAAATTCTACAAAAAAAGAAAATTGCAGCACAAAGTATTGAAGTATAAGTTTACAAGTCTGACTGTAACTTTTGACGATAGTCCGTGCACAATAATTTATATATGAGCTTTAACATTCAGGTGATTTTGGGGTGCCAAAAAGCCTCGTGCAAGGACGCGGTCTACCGATTTATGGAGCCGTTTGTGGGCAAGGGCCTCGTCAGCGGATCGGGTATGTTTGTCAAATCGAGTGCAAGTCTCGTGACAAATTAATAACAATTTTGCCCAGGTCCGTCGCACAGGAGCCACCGCAAGGTCATCATGCCGATGCTGAACAACAGAGCTTTGGGCGAGTACATGGAGTACTTTGACCGGCACAGCCGCGTCTGCGCGGAACTCCTGGAAGAGAAGCTCGGCAGCGGGGAATTCGACCTTCAGCCGTTCTTGAGCCACTGCACTTTTGACATGATATTCGGTACGACTGGTTTTGGCATTATTTTTCTGACAATCAGTAAACATATGTATACATGTGCGTATTTGTATTTCACAGAAACGGTGCTAGGATTGCCGAGTAGTTCGCAGAGGGAAGACAACAGGGAGCTCGTGTACTGGACCGAATCGTTAGTATACTCGAGCTCGGAGGAGAGGGGGGGGGAAGGTTTTTTTTCGGTTGACAACTTGAGAGGAAAAAAATACAAAAAATGTTTTCTAGAATGTACGAGCTGCTCCACTTGAGGATGATGAAGATTTGGCTCCACCCCGATTGGTTGTTTTCGTTGACCGAGTTGGGCAGAAGACAGAGGAAAGGCCAGAGCGTGATTCACGGGTGTATCGAAAGCGTGAGTTATTTTACAGCAAAAATATTGCATAAAGTTAATTTTTTTTTTTTTTCCATCATGTGCAGGAAAAAATAGTTTTGATCTTCCAATCATTGAATTGTTGAAATAGGCCGTGGCACGGAAGAAGGAGGAACACTGCGCGGTGGAAAGAGGCGTCATTGTTTCCGACAGGCCGAGATTGATGCTATTGGAGCAACTGATTGATCACGCAATGAGAACCAATTTCATGAACGACGACGATTACTTGAGAGACGAAACGTACACCCTATTTACTGCGGCAAGTGTAATTTTGCATATCATCTTATTTCAATTTAATTTATTAGCACTTCAGTGTATAACGATTTTTAACGAACTATTTAATTTAACGAACGAGTAAAAAAACGATTTTTCGCGCGATTTTCAGGCTCAAGATACGACAGCGGTCATCAGTTCGTTTGCCCTGCTTAATTTAGCGATGCATCAAGAGATCCAGGTGAGAATCGATGATGCTTGTGAGGGAAAATAATTTAGTTGGGTTTTTTTTTTTTTTTTTTTCAACAATATCTTGTCTTTTTCAGGATAAAGTTCGAGCAGAAATCAAAGCGGTGGTTGGGGAAGACTGCGTTCAACTCGAGCACCTTCCAAAACTTCAGTATACAGAGATGGTGATCAAGGAGACGCTGAGGCTTTATCCAATTGCACCTTTGATGGTGCGTCAAGTGATAGGAGACATCGATCTCGGTAATGACACTTTTTTTCGTTCTTCACATGACCGATGATGCTAAATTATATCAATTTAGTTACATTATTTTTCATTTGTAAATAAACCATAATCACCACTTCTCCATTATTCGATTAAGAAAATTTTGGATGACAATTTTTAAAAACGATAAATGCTTAATTCATTGCAAAGATAATGGATAATACAATTTGATTTTATTTAAAATTTAAATATTATTGATGTGCAAATTTGAAGAATAGTTTATAATTTTTAAACTGTAGCTAAAAATAAACTGTTCCAACTATGTGTACGTAGGATTTGATCAAAAGCATATATTAATGAATCTTTGACTGAATTCAAGAGCTCCAAGCTTTTCTGAACGACATTAAATACATTAATATTGCTCAACTTTTATTACTAATATTTTTATTGTAATTTATAATCAAACGTTTAACAAGTTCTGTGGATAAAATAAAAATAAACCTTTTAATTTTATAGTTTGTAATTGAAAAATTTATAAAACAAAAATTCCAACAACAACCGGTACTCTAATTTACTTCGTAATTTTGTTGAAAAATATTTGATTGTGTAATACGTACCGTGATTAAAATTTTTCAACTTTGCATTCAACTTTTTCTGTTGACCATAGTTTTTGAAAAATATAAACACTAGAATAAACAGAGAAAAACTTTTCAGAAAATTTTACTTTACCAAAGGGATGTTCGATCGTGATGATCCCATTTATGACGCACAGGAGCGAAAAGTTTTGGTCGGATCCTGAGAAATTTGTTCCAGAAAGATTTTTGCCCGAAAACTCCAATAACAGACATCCTTTTGCATACATTCCCTTCAGCGGTGGTCTTCGGGGCTGTATAGGTAAATAAATGATTACATTTTTTCTTTTTTCCTTTTTTTTTTACATCGAATACAATTTATTAAGACAAGTAATTAAAACTTACAGGTCAAAAATACGCAATAATGTGTTTGAAGACGATAATTGTCAATATAATCAGAAAGTTTAAACTAACTAGTAAACTAAAGTTGGAAAATCTTCGACTAAAAACAGATATATCCGTAAGGTCGAGGGATGGTTACTTTGTGTCTATAAGCAAAGTCGAGTAACACGTAATTTATTAAGAAATTTATATTATAATTACTATACTGTTGACGTTCATCAAATTTCCATAAACTCGAATGATAGGCCATATTTTTTAACAATTGTACATATTATACATTTCATATACGTGTAAGTTAATAAATCGCTAGTTATGTTTCGATGCGTTTGATAAAATAAAGAGAGTTCTGTACTTATACTAGTTGTGATAAAAAAAATTTTTTTATAATTACTGTAAAAACAATGTATTGAAAAATAAAAGTACATGGATTCTTAGGGTAATAGAGAAAAGTTCAAAAATCGATTACATTCCTCAAAATTGTCAAGTTGAATTTTCCATCTTTTCCCATCCAACTTTCTTTACTTTCAAGGGAATTATAAAAAGATTCAAATTTATTAAGAAAACAAGATGACGTATCGAATAATTCGCATAATTTACTCAATAAATCTATTATTGTAAAAGACGGCGAGCTCGAGCGATGGGCAGTCGAGTCGATATTTTTTTTCCAGTGAAAACTTTACCAGGAAAATTTCTGCGATCCAGAAGACAATTTTTTGCATATGTGTCATATACATGTTGATAAACATACCGTTGTCTACGACTCCCGCACAGTATAATTTAAAAATAATTTAAAAAATACAATTTAAAGGATTTATGTGAAATTGTTGCTTACTTATTTCTTTTACAACTACTGTAAAATGACTGATTACAAATCATAAGTACTGCAAAAAGTAAAAATACTTTGTTTACTTTTTTTGTTATCTTTTGTCTATTGTAAGGATAGGACGTGGTGTTGAAATAATTTAAATAAAATACCATAATTTACTTGTCATTTCTCAATTTATTTAATAAATTCTTTAACCGATAATATTTTTACATGAAAAAACGCTAACTTATCATAATTTGCTTCGATAAATTGTACCATACTGTAATTAAAGAGGGGGAAAAAAATACGAAGAACGAGAAGAAACATTATATTATAATAACGGATAAATTGTTCTTAAGATTACTTATTCAAAGTATACAAATGTTAAAAACATACTTTTATTTTCTCCGTGTATTTATATGTATACATATGCCTAGCTGTTTCTCTTGTTTTATTTTCTTCATAAAGGGCGGGGGGGGGACAGTATAACTTACTTCTTCGCGCCATTAAAGTGGATAATGATGAAGGGGAAAGGAAAACAACTTAAAAGCTATTATTAATTGAAACAATTGATTATTCGCTGTGTATAGAAGTTCAGAGAAAAAAAACCGCTATGTCTCGACATACACATTAAATATAATATATGCTACATGTATCTTGTGTGATGGCGAACAATCATACGATGTACAAATCCATTTTGACAATGAATACAATGGTTTCATTAGGCTTAATAATAATGTATGAATGAACAGAAGGAAGATAATTGTGAACGCAAGAAGTACGTCGATTATCAATGCGGGATTATTGAAAAAGATGCATCCGCCCAAGATGATCGATGTTTTTCTTTAACTATGTAGGTATTATTATTATTTTTTTTTTGTTGATAAGAATCTGTCGATAAATAATTAATTAATCGCAGTAAATACAATCAAAGTCATATAATTACATCACAGAGAATTATTTTTTCCTCGATTATTCTTCCATTTATTTTATCCTCTCTCTCTCTCGCTCTTTTATTCTCTTATACTCACACTCTCGATCGCTTGCGTAGTGTACTTTTCATTTTGACGACCTGCTTATTTTTTAATTCGTTACTGGAAACGCCGATGCATCATTTTTTCTCTCTCTCACTCTATCTCTCTAATGGTATATTCAAACACACTCGCTCTTTCTCGAGATGATCCACGTCTTTTTTTTTTTTTTTTTTTTTTTTTTTTTTTTTTTTTTTTTTTTTTTTTTTTTTTTTT